GTTGGGAAGTGCTTGAAGCATCGACAGCACAGATGCAGTTCTTTTTGAGGTTCTGTAGGGGGCCTCTGATGTGAGCAGCTCAATCCGTGCACAGTGGTGGTATCGAGAGGCTTGGGTGATGGTTCGAATGTCGAGGAATGTGCTTAACTCCTACACTCTGCCCTTCGCAAAACGGAGGTGCACCTTCATCTTCTTCAATTTTTTTGTACTGTTAGTCAGTCCCCTAGTGCAACATTGCCTCTTGGATTGCTTTAGAGGGCTTGGTCTGGCCGAATACCTTTCAAGGCAGACTTGATTCTGGGGGTAAAAGCAGCAGACGTGATTGATTTTGGAATCTCTGTCCAAATGAGCAGCAACCGTTGAAGAATGCCGCCCAGAGACCCAAAGGCCCCCAAAGGCCTTGCGCGCGAACAGAAGCGTGCGCGTGCAGAGAAGAAAGCATTGCCCCAGTGCTAAGAAAGTATGATGTGTTACGCTTGCTGTGGCCTCGAAGCGGTGCCCCAGTGCTAAGAAATACGATGTTTTGTGCTTGCTGCTTCGAAGCAATCTTACCGTAGTCTCTGCGCTCTTTTGGTCTTCTAGTTCCTGCAGCTTGCAGCTGTCCCTGCAATGTTGTGTTTCACCTTGTGGTGCACTTCTCGATTTGTCATCTTGCGCAGGGACCATGCTAATCTTCTCTGTATCGTTTCTTCACCTCCGGAGAAGCAACGCGGCAAACGAGAGTGATTTATGCATGTTTTCACTGAAGACGGGCTGACACCATTTGGGACATGACCTGGACTACAACGCTAAATAAGGCAGCTCCATGCACAAAAACCGTTCATGGGTCCCACCTCGCCGTTCATTTACAACTTTTAAACCTAAATGGGGTGTGGGACCCGGCCCTCGAAAAATGGGACTCGGATGGACCCAGGTGGGACCCGGATGGGACCCGGTACCCGGATGGGACCCAGCTACGCTTTGCAGATTGTGCGAAAGTGGTCACTGTTGTTGGGACGTGTTTGTGACAAGCATTGCTGAAAAATGTGCCATCACGCGGGCCCGGTTTCAGGGTTCGGAAAACCGCGGAAAACATACTACACAGCAGAGGCCCTCGGCTGTTGCTTGCCATGTGTTCCTGGGTTTTCCATTTTTGATAATCAATCTTACCTCAGAGCAGCTGCTCAACAGTTTTGAGTGACCCTGCGCACATCGGGCCACAGGACATGCGGTGCATGGTTGCATTCGGAGCAGAATGCTTTGCGTGTCTCTGTGAGAGTCTCTCTCTGTCAGTTTCTCGAACGTGGAGCAAGTGAGCGTTTTGAAGGGTCTGTCGTTGCAGCTTTCTCGAAAGGGCCCCAGGTTGCTCAGCGCTGTAGCTGCCATGTCTCCCCAAAGCAGAGTGCTTCGGGGGTGCAGTACTGCTCACTTTCAAAGGAAGCGGGCCGTGGACCCCGGACGCCGGCCGCCTCGTGGCGGTGATGCACCGGTGCGCGAAACAGGACGGGACGATGCGGCCCCTGCCTGTCAAGCCCAAGGGGCCGGAGGACTTCGAGGAGGAGGCAGGGCGAGTCTTGGACGTGTGCAAGGCGAAGCAGCTGCAGCTGGGAAGGGCTGTGTCTGGGTGGTCTGGGTCGGCTGGTCGGCGGTCGAGCTGCTGAAGAGCGTGCCTTCTGGCGGCGTCCTCACTGTGCCGGCCAAGTCAGGGGCGAGTACGTGAGCATCATGAAGAAGGAGAAAGGCACGGAGCTGCCTCCTCCCGGGTCCGTCGTCGTGTGCAAGGTGCTTGGCCTCGAGGCTGCGGGCATGTTCGCAGCCATGCCCCTCTCTACTCAGCCTCTTCAACCGTTGACACTTGCCGATGCCTTCAATCAGGACACTACACTCACAGCCAACAGGGCCCCCGTCTGTGACGGTGCCGGGAACGCCAGCTCCGCAACTAGACTGTGACGGTGCCGGGAACGCCAGCTCCGCAACTAGACTGGAGCCGCCCCAAACCATCTCCTCCTAATAGGCGAGCCAACAGGAAGGCCTGGTTGCAGTGCCAGCTGATCCGGATAGCCATGGACTGGGACTACGACCTCATGACGCAGGGCTATGGCCTCTAGCTTAATCTCCTCCAGCCTCGACATCTGCCAAGCCAACTGGAAGCCAGCAGATGCCGATCCTGACACAGTCCGCCGCTTACTTGCCGACGAAGAAGCAGCCGGCTGGATTCAGCCCGTTGAAGGCGGCCTTCAGGAAGCCAGGCGCCTGGCCGAGAACAGGGACCCGAACCTGGTCCTCGATAGCACCGTATGCCAAGTCAACCCTTTGTGCCGCATCCCGGAGGCAGTAGCCATGCCTACGGGCAACGACGTCAGAGCTACTTTCCTGCCTTCAGACCCACGGAGTGCTTTCCTCGCAGCAAGCATTGACCTTAAGGCAGCCCACAAACGCGTCAAAAGTACACAGCTCTGAACAAGGCCTACTCCTGTTCATGTTCGAAAAGATCCTCTACAGGTATGTCGTCTGCCACTTCGGAGCCAAGTTCTCAGCCTATTGGTGGCAGCGAGTGGAAACCTTATCATGAGCATCGCACACCAGGCACTAGCCTTTGCACCGCACAAGGTCTGGCTGTACGTTGATGACCTTCTCACGGCCTTACTGCGGGCGCACGCGCCAGAGCTCTGTTCCTTCTGATAGCCATGCTTTCCAGCCTCGCAGCCCCCATCAGCTGGAAGAAAGCCACGGTCGGAGATAGCCTTGTGTGGTGCGGCTGGCACTTCAACTTTCGCCTGGATCAGTTGAACTATGTGCAGCCAAACGAGCCAAGCTGTGCGACCAAATCCGCAGCCTTCTAGCCAAGAAGAAAGTCCCTCGCAAGGACCTCGAGGCATGCGTCAGTGATTTGCCGCCTCATACCCGGGGTCAATTTACCTCTCAAGGCTCGCATCATCGAGGTTGGCAGCCGTCCAGTACACTGCAAGGTGGACCTCCCTCCGCAGCCCAAGTCCTCCGGCCCTACCTGGGTTCGCTTTTCGGATCCCACGTGCCCGGAGATTCGACTAACCAAGAACGGAGGCTGTTGCCACGCATCGAGTCCATCCCTACCACAAGCCTCTCTCTCCCACCCTTGATGCCCTGCCTAGCCAGAGCCGACGCCATGGCTGAAGGGGAGAGGGTGGGCATCAGCGGCTGGATCACAACCAAGCAGAGCGTGGCGTGGTTCGCCGAATCCTGGAGTATGGATGAGGTCCGACAGACCTGGCCTTTCCTCACGAAGGATGCCCAAAAGTACATAGACTGTTTCGAGACGCTAGCCCAACTAGCCTTGGCCGTGACAGCCCGGGAGCGGCACGCCTTTTCCCAGTTTGCTGTCTGCTTACCCTCACAGAGCGATAACACGCCTTCAGAAGCCGGGGTTAATAAGCTGTTCACAACCAGCTGGCCACTTTCTCAGTTCCTTCAGCTCATAGCCTCTTGGTCGTCCTGCCACGGGGTCGACCTTCAATTCAAGTGTCCCACGTAGCTGGTGCACACAATCAGTGGGCCGACGACCTTAGCCGCGGTCGCCTTCAAGCCTTTAACCGTAGACAGCAGGAACGGGTCCGCACACCGCTGGAACGCCTGGCGTCAGCTGCGTCGGAGGCCTCTTGGGCAAGCGCCCATCAAGTGCCTAGCCCCCTTTTGCCACGCCAGGACTGACGAAGTCAGCCCCGACCGACCTCGCCCGCAGAGCCAAAAGAATCCGACTGGCCTCGTTGTCGGAATATGTATGCCCAGCGCGAGCGTCACCTTGCACGCTGCCTTTCGCCTAGGTCCAGCTCCACCGCCCGCGGTGGGGGACTTCTATGCTGCGCCTTATTTACCGGTTGGATCTGTCCCTGAAGTGGGGGTATTTTCCTTTTGACAGAATCTGCCCTGCAGTAACTGTCAGCCTTCGGCTAGCCGCGAAGCCTACAGATCCAACACTGTGAAAATAGAGAGCGAAGTGTTAGAGCAGTGCAAGCTTACCTAAAACGTTACCTGTTTTGTTTCAGGAATGTTTCGGCGCTTGCGAATCTCTACACGCTTGACATGCCTACATGCCTACGTGTAGCCGGGCTCTAGCACTTCAGTTCTCGAAAAGCCCCGCCCGCCCACGCCTTATCTACGCTCGCACGCCAGGTACTCCAGCCAACTGCCTTCAGTGCTGCGGTCAGCCTCAGTGACGGTTTGCAAAGCCAAGCGAACGCTGAGAGCCGTGCCTGGCGACCCAGCCGAGCCTTTAGGACTCTGCTACAGAGTCTACGCCGGCCCACAGGTGCGCCTCCTTTGCATCTTTCGCCTTCTCCAACCCAGCCTTGCATCCCTGCTGTCTCATCAGGTCTTGAACGCCGTCGACACGCTGCTCTGGACTTAGCCCATCCCGCTGGTTTCCCATCCCTAACCCCTTCATCTTCCAGCGCTGGCCACGAAGCCTACAGATCCAACACGGTGAAAATAGAGAGCGAAGTGCTAGAGCAGTGCAGGCTTACCTAAAACCTCTATATTCTCACTTCTACTGTGGGGTCTGCTAGAGGGTGGCTACGAGAGTGGTTATGCCTCGGTGTTGCACTCTTTTGTAGGGTTTGGGGCTAGGGTAGGGCTGGGCGGGATGGGTAGTTTCAGAACAGCACGCCGTTGATCTTCAAGAACCGTTGGCATCTTGTGACGCCGCAGGAGTTCTCAAAAACTGCTAACGCGCAGCATCCAGATGTCATATGTCGTGCATGCAAACACAGTTTCTATCTGAAATCCATGTGATCCAGGAAGAGCACTACAGGGCTCAGTTGTGTATGCACAGTTAAGCGTATGTCTGTGCATGAGTTGAAGTGTCCGGAGGCTTCTCGCGTAGGAGAACCAATCTTGGTGGCTTTATGTTGCTATCTACTTCGTTAAAATTGCTGCGGTGTACTGACCGTATACTGTCGTCTGATATTCAAGGCTGTAGTCTGGCCTGTTCAAGGGGGGCTCAAGCTGCTGTGAGAGCTTTTCGTTTGTCAACGTAGTGTAACGCCATGTGGCGTGCAATCGCCCTTGTCTTGCTTGGCCAGGGGAGAGCCGTCAAGCTAGCTGCGACACCCGTCTGCAAAGGCAGCCCGGTGCCTTCAGGCAAGTTGTGCAGCGACTTGACTGTGGATGAGTGTGCCGGTTCGTACATCATCGAGTCGGACTCCACGTACATGCAGTGTGGCGTCACGAGTGGTTACGTACAGTGCCTCACCCTTGGCCCCATCTGTCACAAGCCCCGGGCCCCTCTGCCAGACGGCGGCCTTGAGTTCTACTTCGGCTCCTCTTTGGCCTCAGGGGTGGCGTCGGATAGCATCCTCGACAAGGGGAAGAGCTATGGCAGTCAGAAGGCGAGCGGTATGGAGTACGGCTGGCTGTGCAACGGATCACCGATCTCGGGCTACGACTTCGCAGGAGGCCGTCGAGGCCCGCCGAGGAGCACCTACGGCCTGAACCACTTTGACCGCAGCAACAAATGCAAGTCTGGCAGCACCTACCTTCCCGTCACCTGGAAGCTCGATGTGCCTGATGGAAAGTACAAGGTGGAGGTGATTTTCCCCGAGTCAACGACGCCAGGATGCAAGGTGCAGGGCCTGAAGGTCTGCGGCAAAAAAGGCCCGTGCACCTACAACAAGGTCATCCAAGTCACTGGTGGCCTGAAGGTCACCGGCTACGGGCATGACTCCTGGAAGTGCCACTCCCTGAGCAAGGTGAAGGTGACCAAGGCCCCTGCGTTCCCCGCAGCCGGGATGGAGTTCTACTACGGATCGTCGCTTCCCAGTGGCGTTGCATCTGGGAGCATCCTTGACAAGGGCAAGAGCTATGGTGCAAAGACTGCTGGCGGTTTCGACTATGGCTGGCTGTGCAACGGATCACCGATCTCGGGCTACGACTTCGCAGGAGGCCGTCGAGGCCCGCCGCGGAGCACTTACGGCCTGAACCACTTTGACCGCAGCAACAAATGCAAGTCTGGCAGCACCTACCTTCCCGTCACCTGGAAGCTCGATGTGCCTGATGGAAAGTACAAGGTGGAGGTGATTTTCCCCGAGTCAACGACGCCAGGATGCAAGGTGCAGGGCCTGAAGGTCTGCGGCAAAAAAGGCCCGTGCACCTACAACAAGGTCATCCAGGTCACTGGTGGCCTGAAGGTCACCGGCTACGGGCATGACTCCTGGAAGTGCCACTCCCTGAGCAAGGTGAAGGTGACGCCCGCATAATGGCATATAATGGCGCAAAACCGGATCGGGATAGCACGTGCCTCCGCAGAAAGATGATGCAGCTGTCCTGTTAGTAGTGCGCCCTTGACGAACCAGTGAGAGTTGGATGCTGAGTGACCGTGCGTATGTGACGTAGGTGTACTAAGTGCAGCATGTCCATTTCTGCTGTCACGAGTGCAGCGCGGAAAGCGACAGCTGCACGGGCACGACGTTGCAAGCCAGTTGCAAAAAGGGTGTACGTGTGCTGGTCTTATGGACCCCGGATCGCTTGTTAATTCAGCTAATAAAAGAGACTGACAGTGGCTGTGCAGCCTCAGAAGCATCCACACTAGGTAATGATCGTGCTTACGAGAACATGCCAAAAACAGGCCAGATTGTGTGTGTGTTTCGAGTTAGGGCTAAATCGGCATTATTTTCCTGTTCTGCACACTAGGATGGATTTGGCAACCTTCTTTGCACCATGTTGAGTTGGCTTGTGTGTGATGGTTTGGCCACTGTTTGCCACGAGATTCAATGCTCGAACGTTTCAACCGCTACTGGTTGAATCGTTCCTTCAATGCGTACTCTTACAAGAGCACCCTATCCAGTGCAACCTGGATGGAGTCCCGGATTCTTACCAAGCCGACCGACCTGCAGAAGACTGGGCATCTTCGACAGAAACAAGTGCAGTCGCTCTTGGCAATGCATAAGCTTCGACTTGAAAGTGTCGCGTAAGACAAAGAACTGCCCGGAGCTCTTGTCCAGTGCTTTGTGGGCATTTCATTTGTTTGCGCAGATTTTGGCTCAGATCTATGGTTGCACTCCGTGCATCAGTTTGGCATGTCCTCGCGAGTATGGCCGGGGTTCAAGTGATTTTTTTGAAGCATCACAGCAGCTCAGCATGTTCTTCCAGCGAATGCTTGAGTTTTAGTTTACAGCATATAGCTCCGTCGTTCACCATGCCGGACGCACACAAAGATGAACCACGACGCTGCAAGGATAAAGATGAGCTTGCTTTGGATGCCTTGGCTGTGCATTCGCAGAAACAGCAGCCTTTTCATTTGTGTCATCGAGTTTGTAATCCTCTAAACCCTGGCTTTCCCGAGCCTTTTCCCAACTCCTAAACTGATGACGTATTGCCCACAGCCCAACCCGCCGCGTAAATTGCAGGTCTACAGCATCCGCCTTCTTTGCGGAGATATGGTGGACCGCGCAAGCTCTGGCCATCTGGGCACCCCATTTGGCTGTGCGCCCCTGGCCAACGCTCTTTGGGGGAGACTCCGATGGAATTGTGCGTGCTTAAGATATCGTCATGGAAGGGGTTCAATTTTTCAGGTTACGGTCTACCCGAAGCCTGAGCCCTGCCGCCCCTTTCAACCTAGGGGGGTTGAAGCTTCAGAAGAAAAGTAGTGTGACTTTGACAGGCGTTCTGACAACAAGGATCTCTCCGTCTGTATGCAGCCTTTTGTTGTCTAGCTCCCAAATCAAATCCTAAACCCTAAGGAGCATTATGAAGTTCTCGCCCAACAAGAGATGGCTCAATCGCGATCGCTTCGTCCTGTCCGTCGGGCATGCGTCCGCCCTGCTTTACAGCATGCTGCACCTGGTGGGTTTCTCGGCTGTTGATACCCCAAACCCTATTCTGAATGCCATAGTAGACTTGTGTGGGTTTTTGGGTCCAGTCAGACGGAATAGGGTTGAAGATTTGGTTTCGTTGACCTCCAGATCTGAAATTTCAGCTTTCACTTAACTGCCATAATAACACGGAATAACACACTATAGCAGGTAGACCAGTATACCACACTATCATATAGAGACTGATGGTATGCTATACTGTAGCATACCAGCAGTTTCTGCATGATAGTATGGTATGCTGGTCTAAATTTGCTATACTAGGCTATACTACTGTAGACACCCTCGGGACCCGATCCGTAAGCCCATGGAAGCCCCAAATCCTTGTGAGACACTTCTAGTTTGAAAGGCCTTTGTATCAAAACCTTATAATTAGGGTTTAGGGTTTAGGGTTTAGGGTTTAGGGTTTAGGGTTTAGGGACTTATAACACTGTTTCTCACGCCTTGTGAAACTTGTTTAGTTTTCAGCAGTCGCAGGAACGGGAGCAGGTGGCCCTTACGAAGTCTGCATGGAGCAGCTGAAGCAGTTTCGTCAAGCGGGCAGCAGCACCCCCGGCCACCCGGAATTTCGAATGACCAGTGGTGTTGAGGCGGGCAGGCCCAACGAAGCCAGTTCAACAATAGCACGAACATACGACAGTAAATATATGAAGGATAGCAGGCTTAAACAAAACGTTGACAGTGCTTGGAGTGAGACTTTCCGTGGAGTTTAACTGCCCCGGTGGCTCTTCGATTAAAAGCCCGTTAACTGCACATGAACGAGTTATTGGCCGTGCGCAGAGGAGTATTGCAAGGCAGCAAATAAAAGTCTGCAGCCAAATCCATCTGCTGATCCGTTGTTACACGAAGTCGCCCCTAGAACTGCAGAATTCCCTAAACCCTAAACCCAGAATTCGCAAAGGAAATGAGGGTGTTAAAACGAAAGCCCAGAATTCGGGAATTCGGACCGCCGCAGCTCGTAGAGAGAGAGGGAGCATGTCGGATGCCGAGAGTCAGGGAGTGAGTGGGATGTTGCATTATTACAGTATCACTATACTGTGGTATTAATGTATATTATGGTATTGTTGAGGTACGTTGTGGGATCACTAACGTAAACTATGGTATGGTTATAGTACATCATAGTGTGATTCCCGTATATTATGGTACTGTTATAGTACAGTATGGTAATATTGTCGAGTATTTGGGTGTTTTATAGTACATTATGAATTATGGTTGTATTTCGTACATTGTGGTATCTTTGTAGTACATTATCGTATTATTATCGTTTGATGTCATGACTAGAATACCATTAAGGTATTGTCATCGTATACTATGGTATTTTCAAAGTACGTTATGGTATTATTAGAGGGTTCCAGGAGTTTACAGATTGGCTAATGCAATTCTTCGCGCAAGAAAACTGCGGAAGCTACTATAATCGAGAGAACGTAAGCATCCCAGTAGATCGCAACCCTGAAACCCTAAATCCCGTACCCTAAACTTCAAACCGCGAAGCCCAAAATCCCAAACTCCGGAAATCTCAAGGGCCATCGGTTTCAATGGCTGCAGGTGTTGGCCGATCACATGGTTTGTTCATCACGGCGTGATTTGCCGCGGGTTCTGACTTAAACACTCCAAAAGAGGCTATGCATGTTCACATGGCGAACAGAGCCCAACATTCTGAAACAAGATTCCAACACCGAAGCCCAAGCCCCGAACTTTAAACCTCTTACGACCCAGACCACCGCCTCCGATGCATCATCGAAAAATTCGTATGAACCATAAGCCCTAAATGCCAGACTCAAGAACGTCACAAAGCATCCCCAAAACCGTCTAAAGCCTGTCAAGAGCCGCTGTGAACACCATAATGCCCTTGTGAGACCCTTCTTAACGGCCCTCGTCAAGCCCGCAAACGGCCCATAGATACCCCTGCGAAGCAAATGCAAACCCTTGTGAAACCGAGCACTCCAACACAAACGTACCAGAACAGGAAATCGCACCTTGAACAAAGACGAATCCTAAACCACATATACCCTAAAGCATAAATCCCAAACCGGAAAAGCGCAGGTCACCACGGGACCCCTGGGCCAGGGCTTTGCCAATGCCGTCGGGATGGCCATCTCCGAGGCAACTTTGGCTTTTGTTTGTGATCTTGTTTGCTTTAACTTGACACCTCTTATTCGGCATTCACTTTCTTAGTTGTGGCACCGTTCATTTCCTCTTCGGTTTGATATCAGTGATTTCATGTTTCTGGTCGTGGTATCCTTCACTCCTGTTTGGGTTTGGCACTTTTGGTAGTTGTTGTTATTCGTTTTCATTGCTGAGGTATCCTATGCAATGCATTTTCACTGTTTCGGAATCTTTTTGTTGCGTGTTTTTTCTTTGTGGTGGTGTCCTTTTAGTTCTTTGCTTTCATGATGGTGTGTTTCGTCAGTAGATGTCCTGTCTGAGTTGTCATATCTTTCATTTTGTGTTTTCCTACTTTTGGTCTCAGTCTTTTCTATTCTTCCTTCCCTAGGCTTGAAGCTTTTGTGGCTCGGGGTTTGCGGGTTTCAGGTTGAGGGGTCTTTAGAGGGGTTGGAATTTAAGGTTGAGGTAACCCTAAACCCTGAACCCTAAACCCTAAACCCTAAACCCTAAACCCTGAACCCTAATCGGGTTTCAGCGAGGCAGACCGGACGCGGGCCTCTGCGTTCTCTTTGGAAACCTTGGCCCCAAAGCCATGAACCAGAGCATCCCGCAGATATGTTTCCTTCTTTAAATCCTGAACCCCAAACCCCTCTAAAGACCCCGTAGGTATCCTAAACTCGCATTGCCAAGGCCCACCTGGCTGCCCGTTTCAATCGCGAAGGCTTCCCGCTCTTCGACCACTACACCTATGTGCTTGCACCTCGAAGCACAAGAGAAGAGACGGGAGATGCAAAGTCATTAGGGGCAAGAGGGGAGATGCAAAGTCCAAAACCTTGAACCCGAAGCCCTAGACTCCCCCGGGTCCTCTAGACCCGAAGCCTTTCTGAGGAGGCAGTGATCGTGTCGCTGAGGCTGGTGATGGCTGCCTCATGGAGGGCGTCGCGCAGGAGGTGCCGCATGCAGCGGTGAGGGTTTGAGGGAGCGTGCAGCGCTTGCAGCATCGGTAGATTTGAGTTTTGAAGTATAAGTTACGCAAGCGACTTCCCTTTCGGAGGCAGCGATGGCACAATCCTCTCAATTGAAAACGGATGACTGGCCGTTACTCCTTCAATAAACTCTTCAGCGTAAGCCCTAAATCCTGGATGCTAATCCTGAAGCCCTCAGCGCCCTCTACCCTCTCCCGAAACCGCATAGAATCCTCCTGCAGCCCTATTTGGAACCCTCATCTGAGCCATAATAGTATGCTTCTAAATCGAAGAGGGGCCTTAGCATTTTCAACAAGCCCAAGCCCTAAGCCTAAACCCCTGAAGCCCTAAACACCTAGATCCTAAGCCCCAAAGCCTTAAACTCCTGTGCAACAGTACTCAAGCCCCAGGCACTTGCATGATGTAGCTAAGAGCGTCCTACTAGAGGTAGATGAAGAGCAGCTTGAACGACGCACACGAACATGATTTGGCTCAAGTAAAAGAAGTGCTGTGAGTGCTTGCTTTTGCTTGTTCTTGTAACACGACGGGTTTACTTCGTGTTCAACTAACTCCTGTTCAACAGCCCGTCTTGATTTGAAGGCCAGGGACTGACCCCGAGGCTTTCGCTTTGCTTACATGGAGGTAGGCTTTGGTTTAGGAGTTTAGGGTTTAGGGTTAGGCGTGTGGAATCTCGGGGTTTGGGGTTTAGGGTTCAGGGTCTAGGGTACAGGATTGAAGAGAAGTGTGGCTAGCTTATTTGCAACCCTATTTGATAAGTGCCAAGATGCTTCAAGCCACGCATCCTTCATATATCCATTTCAGGAGCCATTTTAAGGATTTGTTAAACCCTAAACCCTAAAGGCCCTAAATCGTAAGTCTCACGATGATTCAAGAAGGCTTCCTCCCTGGCTGGGCACCTCCGTCTGCACAAGCTCATTGTTTTCTACGACGACAACAAGGAGCTTTACAGGGATTGGGAGAGGGTTTTATAACGATTCCAAACAATCTTTGAGGATTTGCCATGGGCTCCTTTGAGGGTGTAGGGCTTGGGGTTCGGGTGTCGGATGCCCAGTGCTTGGGATTGAGGGTCGACGCTTCCTGCCGGCTTTAGGCATAGGTTCTCAGAGCAACTTTGAGCTCTAGCTAAACCCAAAACAGTTTCGGGTTTGGGTTAAGTTTGTGTGACCAGGGATTCTGCAACACCGGTGTTAGGGAGTCGGGGTATGGGGGCTTTCCAGCATCTCGGGAAGGTGGAGTTTTCCCTTGGAGCAGCACCCTGAAAGCCCTTTAGACTTGAAGCCCCACAAGCGTCCTGAACTTCTAAAGCCCATTTCTTACAATCTTACGCCATAAACCGTAGTCCCAAAGCCCTGAACGTCTAATCGATAAACCGCTGCGCCTTTCGACCCTATATGAAATCCTTGTAAGTTGCTTCCATCCTGTACAGCCCTGTTAAAAATGTGTCCAACCTTTGGCAAGCCTGTGCATTCCTCACTAGAGCCTGAACGCTAGAATCGGAAGCCTATGTAGAATCATTATTAAGATAGGAGCCAGAGTAAGAAACCCAGGGCCTATAACCCCTAAATAGTAGGATTCATATAAGGGACCCTAACAAAGGCCCAAGGTTTCTTATTCAGGTTCCTCCTTTTTACAAAGCTTGGAAGGGATGGTGCAGACTTGCAGTTCCCCTTTCTTCACCCTCAGCCCTAATCCCTAACCCTAAAACCCACCAACCATCCCAACAGCCGACCGTTGAAAGTCTGAAAGCCCAAACCGTTCTGAACCTTCGTGAAGCACTTGGAATACCCTCATACAGAACCCTTCTTTCGTTCCTGAAGCTCCGTAAACTTCAAACCTTCAATCCCCAAAGCCCATAAAGGCCCCCTAAATCCGCAAGCCCCAAACCCGGAGGTCCTAAATGCCATAAGCCTTGAAGCCTAAACCTTAAAAGCCCCAAACCCCAGAGGTCCTAACCTTAAACCCTAAACCCTAAGCCTTAAAAGTGGGGAGGTCACGATCGACGGTGGCACCGACCTCGCCTTTAGCGAGGTGAGCGGTTATCGTTGTTATTGTTCTTATCACGATTGATTTGATTGTTATCATTGAGGTCAGTAGTGGTTATGTTTATTATTAAATATAAATTGCATTGTTCTTCTTGTTCTTTTAGTGATATTACTTGCCTTATTCGCAAACTTCTGTTCATCTATTCATTCAAGCACTGTTCTCCTTATACAGTACTGAAGTCTTCGCTTATTTAGGATGTAGGCTTTAGGGGCGGTAGAGTCTTTGGAGTTTATGGCTTGGGGTTGTCTACTTGGTTTACAGCGGTTCTGGAGGGCTTCTGGAGTTGAATTGGGGTTTCGGGGCCGGTGGTTTTGGGGCATTGGCCCTCGATGGATAGCACTTGCATGGACATTTTAGCAGTCCCCTAAACCCTAAACCCTAAACCCTAAAATGAGTCAATAGTCTGCAAGATGATATGCATTTGAGTGCTGAGCTGCACGTTAGCAAAGCTCTCAAGGCCCAGGGATGTCGCCGGTCCCTGCGTGTTTCGAAAGTTATTGAGATCTGGTATAGCGTCCCCTAAACCCGCGTCAACAAAGTACAAAGTTCTCCAACTCAAAACGCTCTATACGACCCCCCTGGAGGACCTCGTATCCCGACTTGAGCCCAAAGCAGTGCAAAGCCCGACACCTGACACTCTAAATCGCGACGCGACTACACCTTTTGCACACCTATGTATGCCAACTAAAGACCCTTCGTAGAGCCATCAAAGCCAACTTGCAGGACGTCGGTGGGGTCTTTGCGGCCAAGGGATGGAACGTTCTTCGCTTGGAAGATGGAAATCAAGTGAGTTCGCTGCTAGGTGGCAGTTAGTGGTTTTTGATCACAGGAGGCCGAAAAGGTCTTTTTGGAAAATGGGCTTCCAGCAAACAGGGCTTAATGCTTGGACAATGTTGGAAGCCCAATACCGACGAGTATTTTGACAGGCAATCATGGCAGCGACGACGACGAAGTTGTTGATGATTGACTGATTGGATGACGGTCAGCATGTAACTACTTCTATGTCTACAGGCATACTGTTCTGCTACTGCTTTCTGGACTGCTCCGGTTGGTGATGGCATCTGCAGATGTTGTACTGTGACCCTTAATAGCCTCAAGCAGGAGCTCCAGAACACTCGAGATTTCGGCAGAGATTTCGGGGAAGAGGTGCGCAAACCCCTGAGGTCTCGACAGTAGAGCTTGAGATTTGTTGAGTAAAGGAACCCTATTCTATTTATCAAGGCCCCTATGTGGCTCATGAAGCCTAGATATCTGCTCCTAGCTCGATTTGACCAACGCCCAGGAGCGCCTACGAGGAGATCGTGGAGGTTCACGGAGGGCTTAGGGAGCAGCAGATGTAGTGGGAGTAGCAGTGGTAGTTTAGCCGTGGTGGTGGTGGTGGTGGTGGTGGTAGTAGTAGTAGTAAGGCATCCTCCCCCCGGTGCGACGCCCAAACCTCTTATTTTTGGGACTTGCTGTGGTCGGAAATGCTGTGTTTTACAGCACTTTTTTTCCGCAGTTATCGAAAGTGGCAACTGTTCCTGGTTTCGTGTGTATTTTTATCATATTTTCTAACATTGTTCATCAATCTCGCACCCGAAAATGCTGGTATTTACAGCACTTGTCTTTGCGAATTTCATGATTTTTTACTGTTTTTGGGTGTCTCGATTTCGTGCCCAAAACCTAGTGATCAGAATCAAGGTTTTTTGGGCCTCATTTTGATCATGATTTTCATTCAAATCGTTGGTTTGGAGAGCATCCATGTCCAAAACCTAATGACGTCCATGGTCTAGCGCATTTTGGTTTGGAGAGCATCCATGTCCAAAACCTAATGACGTCCATGGTCTAGCGCATTTTGGTTTGGAGAGCATCCATGTCCAAAACCTAATGACGTCCATGGTCTAGCGCATTTTGGTTTGGAGAGCATCCATGTCCAAAACCTAATGACGTCCATGGTCTAGCGCATTTTGGTTTGGAGAGCATCCATGTCCAAAACCTAATGACGTCCATGGTCTAGCGCATTTTGGTTTGGAGAGCATCCATGTCCAAAACCTAATGACGTCCATGGTCTAGCGCATTTTGGTTTGGAGAGCATCCATGTCCAAAACCTAATGACGTCCATGGTCTAGCGCGTTTTGGTTTGGAGAGCATCCATGTCCAAAACCTAATGACGTCCATGGTCTAGCGCGTTTTGGTTTGGAGAGCATCCATGTCCAAAACCTTTCGAAATGTTGCTTCTTTGCATCGCTCCGAGCGGGGATGGTACTTTCCACTGCTCTCTAACAGCTTACTCTGTGGTTCACTAGCCGCATCTTGGACCGCGACAGCTGTGATGGAACATGTTGTACATCCACGAACTCAGCGACCGGCGTCGCACCAGGGGGGGATGGCCTTATAGTAGTAGTAGTAGTAGTAGTAGTAGTAGTAGTAGTAGTAGTAGTAGTAGTAGTAGTAGTAGTAGTAGTAGTAGTCGGGGCGGCGGTGGTGGTAGTGGCGGTAGTAGTAGTGGTAGTGGTAGGGGTAGAGTGGCATAGGAGTGGTATAGTGGTATAGGGGTATAGTGGGTAGCGGCCCAGTGGTGGTGGTGCTAGTGGTAGTGGTAGTGGTAGTGCTAGTGGTAGTGGTAGTGGTAGTGGTAGTGGTAGTGGTAGTGGTAGTGGTAGTGGTAGTAGTAGTAGTAGTCGTCGTCGTAGTAGTAGTAGTAGAAGTAGTAGTAGTCGTCGTAGTAGTAGCAGTAGTAGTAGTGGTGGTGGTGGTGGTGGTAGTAGGAGTAGTAGTAGTAGTAGTAGTAGTAATGAGTAGTAGTAGTAGTAGTAGTAGTAGTAGTAGTAGTAGTAGTAGTAGTAGTAGTAGTAGTGTTGTTAGTAGTAACAGCCGGACGAGTCGGGGGACGAGGAGGAGTAGGAGGAACAGACGCAGGGGAGGAGCGGAAGCAGCGGCAGTAGTAGCAACAGCAGCAGCAGCAGCGGCAGCAGCATCAAAAGCAATAGCAGCAGTGGAACAGTGCAAGTAGTCGTCATCGTTGTTGCCTGGCGTCACAAGACTGCCGCTTCTCAGCATGATCCTGATTTTCGCAATCCTCAGCATTTAAGCAGTGCCGAAACTCTCATGTCTCATCAGGGCAATCCTTGCCATCAGAGCAATCTGCACATGTAGGGTTGCATAAACCGTTATTCCTAGGCAGGTCCTGAACCTTGTACATCATCTCCCACAAACAGTAGCAACTAATAGACTAGTTCCAAGGGTTGCACCCTGAGCTGCAAAGCCGTTCCAGACTTCTATGACAGCCTTGAGCCTGACACCCCGAATCCGCCACCCAAAACTTGTAGAGAGCTGAAGCAGTCCCTGTCCCGGGTTTTGGGCTTATCCCCTTCACTTTAAGCCCTGCGCTGTACAACAACAGTGCAAGCCTGCGAGGAGGCCAAATCCCAGAAGGAGAAGCCGCAGCTTCATCGCAGGGAGGGTTTGGACCCTTGAACCCCTAAGCCCTATTCCCTCAATTCTGAACCCCAAACTGTAAGCCCTAAACCTTTTAAACCCCTGAACCCTAAACCCTAAACCCCTAAACCCCTAGACCCTAAACCCCCTATGTAAACCCCTGACCCCTAAACCCCAAACCCAACCTTTTAAGTCTCGGCCCGAAGCCGCCAGCCCCCTAAAGGCCCATCCCCCAACTTCCCGAAAGCCTCTCGGGGCGCCTCCTACGTGCGCAGTTCGGGGTCCTGCGTAGTAATGGGCGTTCTACTAAACCCCTAAGCCCCAAACCGTAAAGCTGTAAGCCCAAATCGAGACGTGTACCAAAAAAAAAAGGCTGTAAGCCCAAACTGAGGACCATCATCATCATGAAGACGACGATTGGCTGTGGGGCAGGGAAAGGAGTCGAGGCGACGTCGAAGGCCCACGGCGGCAAGTTCTCGAACTTGGAGGCAGGGAGTTAATTCGTTAGGGTGCATGGTTTACTCGGTTCTTGTTAAGGGATTTAAGTTAAGTTACCACAATACGGAATCCTTATTATTTACTGTAGATCAGTATTATGGTAATTTAAAGGAGTTTAGGGTTCAGGGTTAACTGTTAGTTCAATTCTCGCTCGAAGGCTTTCTCAGGCTTTCGCAGAAGGGGGATAGGGGTTCAGATCTGGGGGTGTGGGGCTTGGGTTTGCTTCTCCGGGCTCTCGGTTCAGGTTTCAAGGATTTCGTGCTCCGGGTTCAGCATTGTCCAGAATTTCGGATGGTTTTATGTCGGGTTTCAGGGTTAGGGTTTCGGTTTGGACTTGGCCAGGTTTCGCATTAGGTATTTCAGGGTTGTGTCCATATCAGGCCCTACCAAAATTGCCTGACAAAGTCAACGACACACCAAAACTCCACGCAAAACGCTGAATTTCTCAAGTCCCCGGTCCTTTACAGAAGCAAGCCCTCTTACGGCAATATAAGCCTTTGCATCCTAATATTCTACAAGGCCCTTTCAGAATTCGCATAAAGCGTTAAACCATGAACCCTAGAGTCTTAGAGGGTGCCCAATAACTCCCTTAACCAAATTCCTAAGACCCGAGTTCAAAGCTTGAAAAAATCCCAAGCCTCAAAGCCGAACAAGTCCTCTTCAGCTCGCCCTCAACTGTCTGAACCAAAGTCCCCAGACCGTGAACTCTTCACCGCTAACCCCTCAACCCTAAACCCCTAAGCCCTCAACCCTTGAATCCTAAACCCCTACACCCTTAGACCCTAAACCTTGGGTACTGCCCCCACTCAGTAACAGTTGGATGATATTCTGAATATAGATATATTAGGACCTTAATAGTAGCCCTATTATAGACTGTTACTGTATGGGGGCAGTACCCGACCTAAACCCCTAAACTCGAAGGACCTCCGCAAGAAGTGGCACTCGCCGGCGGGCTTGCGGACCAGCGGCGGTGACCTGGACAAGCAGGCCTTGTTTGAAGGGTTTAGGGACCTGGTTATGTTTTGAAGTATCAGGGGTTGCCGTGGGTGACGGTGGGTGGAAAATGAGACAGGGGCTCAAATAGTTGGAACACGATTCCTGTGAAGGGGTTCTTTTAGGTTATTGTAGAAATCGGTTTTCCGAGCATATTGCGGGCCAAGTCTCCGGGAATCCTGCGCCAAGCCTAGCGAAGAGCTCCCTGGCCTGGAGGTGGCGGACTTAGTTCAACAAGAGTTGGACGCCCTGGCTGCCTACGGACGGGCTTTTTTGTTTTTGTCCGGGAACTGTTGCGCTCTTTGAAGTCGGAGTCCCTCCTTCTACTCTGGGGCTCCGGACGGCCTGCAGGCGGCCTGCTTGGCACTTATTCGGGTTTCGTCCTGAAGCTTCTCCGGGGCTGCATACATGGTTTTGTCAGGGATTACAGGCTTGTAAGCAGGTTTCCAAGGTGTTGCGAGGGTTTTACAATAGGGGTGTTTAACTGGCGCTTTACGGTGGAGGCTTCAAGGAGGTCGGCTTCTAAAACTTAGAGCCACCAGAATCAGAGAGTCGCCAGGCAAATGCCAGCACAAGCTGAATCCTTGGGTACCGCAAAGGCGAAACCATCCAAAACCTCAAATCCGAAACCCTACACTTGAACCCTTAAACCCAATAACACAAACCTAAATGCTAGAAGCTTTGGACCCTAAAGCCCTAAAGCTCTACAACGGGTGTGTTTTTGGCGCGCCGATATCAAGTCTTCGAGGTCGGATCTGAGGCAGCCGGAGGCCCTCAATCCTGACGGGTTTAGGGTTTTAGGGTTCAGGCCCCTCAAATTTGATCCTAACTTCAGTGCTGGCACCTTCGAAACGCCGCAGGAAGCTCAGAATGCAGCTCAGCAGCCAAGTCCGGCGTCCTTCCGAAGTTCTACGTGCCGAGGCAGGTGGAAACGTTGAACATCCTAAACTCTCAAAAATCAGAAGCAGCGGTAAACCCTTCATTCAACATTGAAAACCCAAACTCTCAAAAACACAGAAGCAGCCGTAAAACCCCCAAACACCTAAAGCCGACAGCCTTGAACACTCGAAGCCCGAAACCCCCCTCAGGGAACCCTACACCGCAAACCCTTAAACCTTCATAGAATGGGTAAAGGAACCCTCTAAGGCTTGAACCTCCTACTAGTACTGCCCGAACGGGTGTACCTTTCAGATGTCGGGATTGGGGTTGGGGTTTAGAGTTTAGGGATCTTGGTTCTTTCAACCGGGTTCGATCAGGGTTCTGCATTATTGGGCTTTCTCTGGGCTTTGGGGGGCTTTCCATCAGAGGTTCAGAGTTTTGGGGGTTTTGAGCTGAAGCTGTCAGCTTAGAATATTCGCGCTCTTACCCCCCAAATCCCTCAGTCCTTCTAACTTGGACCCTCCACCCTAAACCCTAAACCCTAAACCCTAAGATGGCCTCGAGGCCCCCCAAACCCGAAACGATGTGTTTGTCGGATCAGGCCGGTCCTCCAGCGCTTCCGCAGCTACGGAAAGCAAGGCGGGACATATATCCGAATGTATCTCGTGTCGGATTCCCTCTGGAAGGTGCCTTGAAGCTGGATTTGTTTCCCAGTGTCGAGGTTTCACAGTGTCATAGCGTGTGGTTTGAAATACCTGGCAACTTGTCAGGCATTCGTTCCCTTTAGCGTGTTCCAGGGTTGGGGAGTTTGGGGTGTCGGTTTGGGTTCAGCTACACATACGAACATAGTATAAACCCGCAACCCCCTTGTTCTGCTTTTTTCGGCTCGTGCACTAGGCGCTGTGAAAGCTTACGGTCCATCACAACTTCAGGCTCCTGGTGCCCTACTGCTGCGGCCGTCCCACACCTTAAATATAGCCCCCAGCTCAAATTCTAGCCATCCGAACAAGCTGCTAGCCCGAATAGGGCCCCAAAGCCTCCACACATTTGAACCCTAAACCTTGAACTCCTTTGAGCACTAAAATCCCCAAAAATATATATATATATATATATATATATATATATATATATATACATATATATATATAAATAACCTTAAGACTCTTATCAAACTACGCAAATCTGTAGAACCCCTTATCAACTCAACCCTGGTACAACCCTTAGAACCCTTATCGTTGTTAAACAAATCCCCGAAGTGGCAGTCAGCCCCCGCACGAGGCGACGGCCTCTGCGAGTCCTGGGAGGATCTTTGTCGGCGATTCTGTGAGACCTTCCGACAGAAGGAGCGGTGACAATTGTTTAGGGGTTTAGGGTTTGGGGGTTTCGAGTTTAGGGGTGCATTTCCCTATATCTTGCAGTTCAAGTTTGTAGTAAGGTTTCCTGCACCCTACTCCTACTCCTACTCCTACTACTACTACTAGTACTACTACTACTACTACTACTACTACTACTACTCCTATTCCTACTCCTACTCCTACTCCTACTCCTACTTTTACTCCTACTCCTACTCCTACTCCTACTCCTACTCCTACTCCTACTCCTACTCCTACTCCTACTCCTACTACTACTCCTACTACTACTGCTACTGCTACTACTACTGCTATGAACTTTCGGGTTCTTGGCCGCTTTGCAATGGCACCGGCCACGGCAGGAGCCAGCCGTCGTGAAAGACCTGGAGGAACGACTCCAGGCAGACTTTTCGGATTTAGGATAACTTGCTTGAATTGTTTTTGAACCGTAAACTCCAAACCCTGAACCTTAAACCCCAAGCCCCTAAATCCCTAAACCCTAAACTCGTAAACTCTAAACCCCAAGCCCGTAAATCCTAAACCCTAGCTCCTGAGTGTTTGGGGTTTACTTCCGGATTGAGGGCTTCAGTTTCCCAGAGCTCCAACATCCCCTAAATTACGGATATTCCTTAAAATCGAAGTATAGTCCTTAATTACGGGATAATGGAGTCTCTAGGTTTAGTGGAGTGTGGCTTTTTTGTTTTTATAGGGCTCTGCGAGACTTCAGGGCTCTATGACCCCTCTGCAAGGGTTCACTTAGGGGTCTCTAGGTTCCTTAACAGTGCAACATTTAAAGCAGACTGTACTTTAGGGGCCTTAATAAGTACCTATACTACTTTGGGGGTTCCTTACTCCAAAACCCTATTCTGATGAAAAAAGCACCCGATAGTAGTTGCGCGAAACCGGCGGCCGCAGCTTGAACTCGCTACCCTTAAGGGGGGCTTAATAATTAGAATAGGGTTCCTTTAAAAGGGTTCTATAACGGGTTGCTAGAAGGGGTAATATGGGAGTACTATAGTATAGGCGCCCTAATAATTAGAATAGGGTTTTGGGGCGCACGATACTATAACTGTAAGTAAGGAACCCTAAGGACTCATGTTGGTAATTGTTCAGGCTCCTATATTAGGAGGCCTACGCCCTAAGCCCAAGCGGAGAAAACCGTGCCTTTCCCAAAAGCCTATGAAAAAACACAAATAGCAGCAGTTTTCAGGCAGAGTGCTAGACTTCAGATGCCGCAAAGGCTTCCTCGCCCGCCGAAACTGCAGCAACCTGACGAAGAATAGCATCGCCCTAGACCCGACACCCCCAGTATCTCCTCAAGCCCTAGACGCACTTCCCTGAAACCCTATACCCTAAACCCTAAACCCTAAGCCCTAAATTGATTCCTAAAGCCCCAACACTGAACTTCCTGAACCCTGAATCCTAACATGTCTTTTCGAAGTCCTTCGCCAGGGGAAGTACGTGTCCGACAGCTGGGAAGCCACGGCGGAGCTGTGGCAAGTCAAGCTCTAGGGTTTACGGTTTAGGCTTAGGGTTTGGGGTTTAGGCTTTGGGTTTTAGGGTATGCGGGGTTTGGGGTTTCGGGTATAGGGCTTATGGTTCATTTTTTCAGGGCCTAAGGCTTAAGGCGCAGGGTCAAAGCCATGAAGGGTTGTAGCAGCTTTGCAAAGGTATTAGCTTTTCAGGGACTACCCGGGCATCCACAAGAGGCAGGTTCCCCACATGGGTAGTATTTTAAAGTAGGGTCCCTTTATTGGGCCCTTTGAATAAGCGTGCCGCACTATTTTGGGGACCTAAAAGAGACCTTAATTTAGAGAACTACCCACATGAACCCTGGGCCCCTCCAGCCGTAGCCTCAGAAGTACGGACACTCTAAAAGCCCTAAGCCGCGTGAAATGGAAGAGCAGCCCTTTGGATGAGGATTTAAATGTAAAGGGTATTCTTTCATGAAGGCTTTTTGGAGTCTGAGTGCTACTAGCATTGTGGCGAGGTTTCTTGAGACCTCTGCAGTACTTTTTGTTATGTTGTTTTCGAGAACCTTCGGTCTGCTGATGCTTCCATGCACCTCAAGACCTTCCAACCCCAAGCCGTCTACTACACCGAAACTTCCGGGTTTCAATACCCAAAATATCGTCCAACTATCATTTCCCAACGCAGTATTGTTTTCAATATCATGCTTATATGTGAAACCCAGGGCATTTTTCAGACAAAGCGTCCGAAGATAAAAACCCTAAACCCTAAACCCTGAACCCTAAACCCTGAACACCCTAAAGCGAGCCCGACGTTTGGTTTGGGGCCTTCCGGACGGGCTCAAGGTTCTTCGAGGTTTCCAGGCTCAAAGTCCAAGAATCGAATTCACAGTTTCGGGTCTGTGGGTTGTAGGGCGATGGTTCAGCAACCCAAACCCTAAGCTTCAAATCCTACCAATGCCTAATTCCGTTAAAACTCCTTGTGAAACCTTAAACCTAAGCCCGCAACTTCGATCCCCAAACCCTTCAAACCTTCAGCCCCAAGCCCTAAACGCTAAAGTGCCCCAAACCTCACATAAACCCTAAACCCTAAAATCTCAGGAGAAATACCTGACCAACGAGCTCGCCTCCATCATGGCCGCATTGCCCGACCTGCGGAACGAGGATGGGATATCGCCTGACAGGGGGGGGGCTTCGGGCCTTCTTTGTGTGTGTGGGTGTTGCTCCTTTGGCTGTCCATCTGTTTACCCAGCTATTCCATCTCATTTTCCATACTTCGTTTCCCTTTTTCAGAGTTTTCCGTAGTTTCTGTTTATTTTTTGTGTTTCAGGGCTTGGGGTTTCTGGGGTTTGAGGTGAGGCGGGTTAGTTGGCCTGAGTTAGAAGTTTTAAGTTTTGGATTTTGGGTGCAGGGTTTCAAAGGTTGTGGATCTAGGTTCTCGGAGTTTCCGGTCCAGCTCTGGGTATTGGGGCGAGTAGTATTTCTTTTTCGCAGGGTTTTGTCGGGGTCTATAGGGCTTCGTCAGGTCAGCAATCACTCCTTCCCCCTCGGCCGTGTGCCGTGCTCAAAGCCCTTGTCCCCTAAACCCTAAACCCTAAACCCTAAACCCTAAACCGTATTGCCTCAATCCTGAAACGAAAACGCCTGAATTGGCAGTTCGCTCTCTGCCTGGTTGTGCTTCGTTGGTCCATCAGTCTGCTCCAGTTCTTGGGTTAGAGATCCGGGCGGAGGCCTATGAAAGGCGAGGTCTATGCCTTAAGCCCTGCACATCAAGCCCCAAGCCCAAACCGCAATCTAGAGTCTCTTGGACCACTCGAAGTGGAGTTACTTCACTGCAATTTCGGGCAAAGGCTCCTCAGTTGAAAAAGCGGGCGCATTCCGTTCGCTGGCCCGGAATCCCTACACCTTCCTTTTGCCCATAGACATCATCCGACAATCAGGAGCCTTCACTTTAAGGGCATCCGGTAGCTTGGGCAACTTTACGCCCCACAAAACACCCAAGCTGCCGAGTCTTGAGCCCTTCATGTTTACATACTATATATATATATATGTATATATCATATACTGTATGTTTTTATCATATGATTCATCATCATCATATATATATATATATATAGATATGTATCACATACCATACATTACATGTTATATCATATGTTATATGTAATAAATCAGGTATTATTTCACATATTATAAGCATAGTTCAGACCAAGCACTAAACCCATACGCCGAAAACCTTGGAGCCGACAGCTTCTGCTCGAAGTCGAGGACGATGCCACGGAGGGGGACGAGCCACCGGCCAAGCGTTTCAAGGTTGCCCGGCGAAAGTTTGAGGTTTAGGGTGTAGGGTTCAGGGTTTAGGGTTCAGGGCTTGGGGTTTAAGATTCAGGGTTTTGGGTTTGGGGTGTAGGGTTCAGGGTTTGGGGTTTAGGGTTCAGGGTTTGGGGTGTAGGGTTCAGGGTTTGGGGTGTAGGGTTCAGGGTTTGGGGTTTAGGGTTCAGGGCTTGGGGTTTAAGGTTCAGGGTTTGGGTTTAGGGTTCAGGGTTTGGGTTTAGGGTTGAAGGTTTATTGGGGTTTGGGCCCTAGGGATTTTCAGTTTGTAATGTTTTTTTCCTACGAGCTGTTAGTTCGGGATTGTAATGTGATTTCCTTACGAGATGTTGTCTTGGGTCTTGCGAGGCTTTTGTCGGGTTGGATTGAGGGATAGCTGTAGAGGTGGGTCTTGCAGCCTATTGAACGTGACGGCGTTTCGGGGGGTTTCAGGAGTGCCAGGTCCAAAGTTGCGGGCTTGGGGGCTTTGGTTCAGGGGATCAGAGAGGGGTTCGTTTTTGTTTTCGGGTTTAAGTTCAGGGCTCAAGGACTTAAGCCAAGGGTTCAAAACGCAGTTCAGGGATCACACCTGTCTGGGGGGTTTTGAGGTTCAGGTCGGGAATGGCAGGTTGATTCTAGGTCATGTCGAAAAGCCGACGGAAGGTATCGCAGAAGCTTCAACTTGCAGGTTTCAAGTTTTTGGAATGTTGCGGGGTTCTTATGCTGAAAGCCCGGCAGACTCCGCATTAAGACCGGCAGGCACAGCATCTACTGGCACTACTGCGTCTGGTTGTTTACAGGAGGCAGAAGGATGTCTTGTGTCATAGTGCGCGCAAAAGAGTGGAACATGGGCCTGAATACTGAATCATAGTATTCTTTCGAGTTCCCTGCAGGCCGTCACACCACAAGAAGAATCATAAACCCTGAGATCACAACTATAACACTCTTTCAAACCTCGAAAAGGACCTATAAACACAACCGTAAAGTGCGTTAAGCAAGACAAGACATAGCCTCACAACGCACCCTTATACGAACACGAAACAATCTCGCCAGAACCGTGTAGAAACCGTCTAAAGTCCTATAACACCCTGAATCCTAAACCCTCGACTTGTGGAGCTTTGGCCTCAGGTCGGCACGAAAAGCTTCAAGTACAAAGCCGGCCGTGTCTTCGGCCCCAGAGAGAGGAATGACTTCGGGTTTTGGGGTTTAGGGTTTGGGTCAAAGTTTGGGGTGTAGGGTGAATGACTTCAGAGTTCCTATATAGGGAACCCCAGGAAGTTGGAATATGGATTTAGGATGGTTAGTGCTTGGATTCCCTTTGCTTTACTGTAGGGGCAGAGGATAATACATTCCAACCTTCTGCAACTTTCTGTATTCTTGTACCAATTCTGCAGGCCGCTGTGCTACAGGCTTAGATTGAGGCCTTGGTTCGGAGAGGGATTGGCTTCATTGACGTTTTTCTGAGGGTTGCTGTTTCATAGCGGCCCGGTGGGATCCAAGGAATGGAGCTGTGGAGTGCGGAATTTAGGGACGGTGTAGCTTGGAAGCTGAGTCCTGAAATTTTCTCCCTGAAACGAAATAACAATATAATAACATTAATAATAGTAGTAACAATAATAATAATAATAGTAATAATAATAATAGTAGTAACAATAATAATAGTAGTAATAATGATAGTAATAATAATAGTCGATCGTAGAGAAGCTTCACAACATCACTGCGCAACTCGGCTTCAGGGCTCCTAGGATTTTCATACGGGTAGCTCTTCCGATTCCCAGACCTTCCACCTCCACAGCTCTGGGCGCTGAACGGTAGCCCAGCCTCCTAACGGAGATTTAGGTTCTTCGGTTGATGATATAAATCCTGCATTACCCATAATAAGGAATATACCATAATTCCCATAGTTTAGGGCCCTTAAGGTAATGCAGGATTTTGCTCATCAACAGTTGCAGTTGGAGAAAGCGATAAACTAGCACCCTAGAGCTTTCAGTGTTGCAACGGAGCCGAAACCTCATTCCCAACACCCTGAAAACCTAAAGCCCTGAACCCAAAAGCCCTAAACCCCGAAGCCCTGTCTCCCAAACCCTGAAAATGGAAAAGAGCACACCTGTGGAGGTCTACGTCTCCGAGGTGCTCAAGAATTTTGCCGAGCAGACGCCGGCGTTGATCGGAGGAGCGGTGTAGGATCTAGGCCCAGCGAGCCCAGTATATCTGTTTAATGAAAGGAAGACGAGCCTTTGTGGCAGAGGGTTTAGGGAATAGTCCCTTCTATTCAGCTAAAGTGAGATGCCGAAACACTCCTTCTTCTCGCAAATGTTGAATCATTTAGAAGGGGCCCCCACCCTGTAATAGTGGTATAATAGGAATATAATAGGGCCCTAATATAATCCTTATAGTCACTATTACAGGGTGGGGGCAGCTTCTGACGAATCATCATGAGGAAGCATACTCAGAAGCCTCGGGGGATCGTGCTTTATGGTTTGACGGGCTACGCTTTGATGGTTTGGGGGTCAGCACGGGTTTAGGAGTTTAGGGTTTAGGCTTCGGGGCTTTGGGGTTCAGTAGTGTTTAGGGTTTAGGAGGTAAGGGTTTAAGGTTTCTGGTTCTGGAACTCGGGTTCGCTGCTCAGTTGGGCTAGGGCTCAGGGGTTAAAGTTTCGTGTTTAGGCTTTATAGGAGATCCTCGAATGGTATTGTAAGGGTTCCTCGAAGGGTTCTCGTAGGTGGTAGCCCCTAAACCCTAAACCCTAAACCCCTAAACCCTAAACCCTAAACCCTAAACCGGTCTAGGTTTAAGCTTTGCTGCTTGTTGCGAGGGTTATTCAACGAACCAGCTCGGATGACGAGGCTTGGAATTTCGCTGAGCCCAAACAGCAGAAATCCGAGAAATCCGAAAGTGACGAAGACAACTCAAACTCGAGACAGCGCAGAATCCTTAGTGCGCAGAAGTCCTTCCTCGAGTATTTCGATTGCACCCTTTGGTTCAGCTGAACATCTGGCATTGACCAGTAGGAACTGTTGTAATTCAGGGGCCTTTGCAAGATAGCGTTGTTTGACGACCGATAGCAAAAGAGAGCGGATGCATTGATACCTAACACGCTTGAACTCGTAAGGCGATGCCGACATGCCGAAACCACCCCTGAGCCTGAACGGTTAAGTTCCAATGCCCCCCCCCTGCACCTTCAGCCCTAACCCCCCAGCTCCCCCCTAACCCCCCAAGCTCCACACCCCTTGGACCCAAAGGAGCTCTGAAACTCCGAAACTCAGGGCCCCACCACACCTGGCGGCTCCGAACCCGGTCACCTCGAACTCCGGGCCTGACCTCAGCAGACTCGTAACTCGAATCTTCTTTTGGACCCGAGATCCTGAAACTCTAAACCCCGAAGCCTCAATCCCCGCAAGACTTAACTTTGGTTAGTAGGGAATGGAAGAATGGTAGTAATAGTAGTTATAATTCTACCCCATTCCTCCATTCCGAAACTAACCAAAGGTAAGTTCTAGGATTATTGAGGCCCCTATATTATAGTACCCATTATAGATGCCTTATGGTAACCCTTATAGATCCCTTTATAAGGCCCCTTTATCCTCTTATCTGACTACTTCCAGGATCACCCGACGTCGCGAGCAGCGTCGGGGCACACTTTCCGAGCATCCAAGGCTTGCCGAAGGGGGAACCCGGAGAGATCAGGACATTAGGGTTTAGGGTTTAGGGGTTGAAACCCCTTAGGAGTTGAGGTATATTCCTTAATTAAGGGTTTGAGGGCTGGGTTTGGTGTTAGGGTTTAGGCTTCAGGGGGTTTTGGGCCAGGTCAAGGGATTCAGCCTTTCATGGGGGTTTAGGGTTTAGGCTTTTGGTTTCTGGAATGGTTTGGGATAGATGACATTGTGCCACATCTCTGAGAAGGATTTTAAGGATGGCTTCAACACCATCTCAGAAGAGGAGACTGCAGTTTCCAGACCCGAAACCCTGAGGCCAAAAGCCCTGGAAAGTGCTTCTCTTCGTGTTGAGGCTCACACCGTGAGGCCTTCAGTTTTTTTTTTTTTGCGGTTTAGGGCCTCAGGCACGAGAACGCAAGCTCGGACGGCACTACGTTGTCGTTTTCGGGTTTAGGCTCTGGAGCCGAATCCCCGAAACTCTTACCTTTGGTCAGTAGGGAATGAAAGGGGCCTTATAAAGGGGTCTATAAGGGCTACTATAAGGGATCTATAAGGGTACTATAATATAGGGGCCTTTAAAAAAATCCTAGAGCTTACCTCTGGTTATTAGGGAATGGAGGAATGGGGTAGAATTATAACTAGTATTACTACCATTCTTCCATTCCCTACTAACCAAAAAGTAAGAACTGTACACCGTAAAGCCCTTCCCCACAGCCGAAGTCCAACATAGCCGGAAGCCATAGCGCTTTCTGGCGCCAAGTTCTTGACATCGAAGGTAAATCCCAGGCTTAGACTGGAAGAAGTGTAGAGTCTAACCGGAGAACCATGTAGAGACTGGCTAATTATGCACTTCAAGAGGTAAACCCGTAGCTTCTCGACTGCTAGAGGCAACTTCCTGCCACCGTCGCTGCGGCCGGGTGCCAGCTATGCTGGGCGCTACATCCACTTCGGCGTGCGCGAGCACGCGCGGCTTGGGCTCACAAAAGCGAGTCGCATCGAGGGTTGCGTTTAACAGGGGTTGCGGTCCTTCGAAATCTGCACAGCTGAGGCCGCATCGGGTGTATGGTGGGCGTATGCTTAGAACGCACTGAACCAGGCCCTACATCCGAAGTTCAAGACCCGATGCATCAAGCCTACTGCTATTCCTTAGGGGTCCCTGTCATACTTATCATATACCCCATACCCTGTTCTGACTGTTAATCCTCTAACAATAAGCTAGGACTCCACTACGAAGCTTCGATTCGGAATTGCTCCTTGCTTCAGAAAGCTGTTGCGATGCTGCAGGAAGGTTGGAAGGATGCAAGTATGCTCCCGGCTTACTTAAGGACTGCACGGTTTAAAGTTTAGGACCTACGGTTTCGGGCTGTAGGTTTTGAATTTGGGGTTGTTGGGCTATGGCTTGAGGGTTCACTCAGGTTGCCGAACACATTAAATTAAAGAAGGTGGATCTAGCTGTCGTTCTTGGCTTCATAGTACACCTCTGAAACTGCAGGTGCCTTGCCATTCTCAATGGCATCTGCTCCTATTCGGCGCTAATTCCTTACGCGTCGCTCTTCACCGTCTTTTTCCAGTGCCCCGGAATTTAGATGAAGGAGTATTTCTTGATGGCTTAACGGCATGCTTTTGGAGTCTTGGTGTTTTTCGGCAGAAGCGACTTTATGTTGTGGGCCGAGTGATGAATCTTCGGACGAGAAGGTGATCAAAGAAGTCGTAAAGGCGGTGTATTCTCGGGTAAAGCAGTATACCAGTACGGCAAGGGACCTGGAATAAGTGCAGCTGTAAGTAGGTACCTGCGGCTATCCCATGTAACCAGCTAACCGATTTACTACTCACCCCCTCCTTCCAAGGTTCGCTGTGTGGCACAAGAGTTCCGGGACTGAGACAGTGTCTTATCCCAGTCTTGTAAAACCGCAATCCATCACCTTGATAATCCAAATCCACAGGAAGCTTAAATTCCCATTGCGGCTAAATTCCTTTAAAGTATAGGATAAACCTCTTCCCAAGATTCCCAAGCCGCGCCTCCAGGTACGGTATGCCGGCGCTCCGAATGGCTCGCGCCTCAGATCTCAGGTGGAGTTAAAGAGTTTATAGGGTTTCAGGTTTAGGGTTTAGGGGTTTAGGGGTTTAGTTTAGGGTGTAGGGTTTTGGGCTTGAAGGTTTAGGGTTTACATGGGTTTAGAGTGTTTTGTAAGGGTTAGGGTTTTGTAAGTTTTGTTAGAAGGTCTGTATGGCCCACCTTTCCAAGCTCATTGAAGCCGCTACCTTGTAAACCCTAGCGGATCCCTCCATACCCTACACCTTCCAAGCCCGAACCTCCGAACGCCTTTTCGACCGTGGGAAGCTCAGTAGAAGCCCGCAGGGAAAAGTTAAAAGCAATCCCTTAAAGGAACCCTTGGTATTCCTCAATTACGGGGTACTGGAGTCTGTAGGAGCCACATTGAGCCGTTAAGAGCTCCTCGAAGATCAGAGGAGGCCGAAAGGGGTCTTAGCCTATGGGGGTTTAGCAGGGATTCAGGTTCCCATAATAGGGCTCATATTAAGGAATCCCTACCCCAAGAATCTTAAACCCTAAACCCTAATCCCTCGACCCTAAACCCTAAACCCTAATCCCTAGACCCTAAACCCTAAACCCTCATCCCTACCCCAAGAATCTTAAACCCTAAACCCTAATCCCTAGACCCTAAACCCTAAACCCTCATCCCTACCCCAAGAATCTTAAACCTCCCCTTTTTGGCCTCCCATCAGAAGAGGCCTCGATCTCCAAGTTTCCGGTGCTTTACATCGGCACGCACGACTCGATCGACCTGGGAGAGGTTCGTTTCTTTTGCTGATTCTTGTGTTAGGGTTTAGGGGTTTAGGTTAGGGGTTTAGGGGTTTAGGGGTTTAGGGGTTTAGGGGTTTAGGGGTTTAGGGTTTAGTTGGTGATCCTTGCGTTCTTTCTACTTTCTCTTCCCAGCGTCATTATGGAGTTTAAACCATAACCCCCAAGCGTTTTGCTCTTAGTTTGATTATGATCATTGCGGTTAGATAAATGTTCTGGTTTTGGGTGCATGTCAGCATGTCCGCTTTCGAACATGGTTTAAGGCTTTTAAGGTTTCTCTGGGGATGTGGAGGACCTATGGTGGATTCGCAGGTTCCGTTCAGGTATTTATGATCTTCTTGTGTCGGCTTCAGGAGATTTTCTGGAAGAGTTAATGCGGATTGGAAGGATTGGGCTTGAGAGCATACATGCTCTGGACTGTTTCAGGAGGTTGGAGCATCTTATTGGTAAACCCTAAGCTTCCAGAGACTCCAATATCGCTTAATTAAGGAGCGTTTCTTGGGGATCCTATTATAATTAAAGGTATATTCCTTGATTATGGGATCTTGGAGTTGGTAGGCTTCTTGGTAAACCCTGTAAACCCCTAGAGCTTGAAGCTTTCGGGGGGGGGGGGGGGGGGTTGAAGTCTAGAAGGAGAAGTACCACGTGGATAATTGTCGTAATCTAGATGTATAATGCCCTTATTTGTAGCCCCATTAGAAGGCCCTTAAATTGTAGCCCCATTCTAGGCTGTTTCTGTATGCGTGGCCGTACCCAAAGTACTCATAGCGCCTGGCACAACGTAGCGCAACGCTCTGGATGTTCGGCTTTGAGATTTTTGGCTCCGGGGCGCAGCCCAAGGCCAGAGTTCCTCCGTTGCCCGAGAACTTACCGTTGGTTAGTAGGGAATGAAAGGGGCCTTATAAAGGGGTCTATAAGGGTTACTATAAGGGATCTATAAGGGTACGATAATATAGGGGCCTTAATAATCCTATAACTTACCTTTGGTTAGTAGGGAATGGAGGAATGGGGTACAGTTATATCTACTATTACTACCATTCTTCCATTCCCTACTAGCGAAAGGTAAGAGAAAGGTTTTACTGGGTTCTGTCTTCTTGTGGAGTTGAATTTGAAGGCTTTTAACGTACCTTGTTGTCAATGGGGCGGCATGCTGTGACGGCAATCCCAGACCAAACAAGACTTAAATAGCCGGACTCCATTAGTCCGACTTTGTGGGAGTTCACTGTGGTGGTTCAGTGAGCTGGTGTTCGTCCCGTGTGGTTTTGGCTGCTTTGTTAGTGATCGTTTTTGCGTGTTACATGCGTGGTTTCTGAACCCAGAAGCCTTATAGCACTAAAACCTGCAGCATCTTCAGCTGTAGGCTCACTGCAGTTGTGATTTGTTTCCTTATAGGGTGCAGTCTGGGCTGTCGGTTGTAACGTGCAGTCTAGATCCTCGAAAACCCAAACCCCGAACCGTAATGGTGACCAGATGGGGGTTTCCAAAGATAGGGGTTCCTTTTTTGGGTGTCCTTACCTACTATTTAAGGTACTGTATTAGGGTCCCCTATTCTCGGAAACTCCCAGATCTCTTTCATGATCCTGGGCATGGTGTAGTTCTTTACGATGTAGTTCATCCACACGTGATTCGCTTGTGGATTGTCACATGACTGCACGCATACCCTGATGCCTAATCCCTAAGCCCAAACCCCTTACCCCTTTCGAGTAAAGGCATTCAGGACCCGCGACTTTCTTTGTTTTAAGAGGTTCTGGAGCCAACATTCCAAAAAACCAACTACTCTAGGGGCCTTTATAATTACCTATACCATTTTGGGGGTTCCTTATTTCAGTACCGTTAAATGGGTTTCAAAATCTTATTTTGATTATCAAGGTCCCTGTGTTAAGTCCCCTACTGGCTAAACCTGTGTTCAGAGTTTCACACAATTATGCGACCCCTGCTGCGACCCTAAATTCCTAAATAGTAAGCTCTTTGCTACACCCCTGCCTAAACCCTACCCTGAACCCTGCCACAACTTTCCAGCAGAGCATTCAACGCCACACGCTGAAACCCCTAATTCTAACAAGCTTCCCGTGTTGAGGACGGCCCAACGCACCAGCCGGTCGAGGTTTTGCCGCAGCTTCGTGCCATGCCGTGGGCACAGGAAGCGCAGTTCTGACTTAGGGCATAGGAACCTTAATAATTGGTTAGCATTCCTTTGCGTGTTCTTGGAAAGGAGGGTTACTCCATTAAGGGCATGACATGGGGCCTTAAGGATTAGGATAGGGTTTAGAAGTATTTTTTAGTATACCGACTTTGAGAATTGAGGCCGTGCAAGATTCCCGTGTATTCTCACTTCTACTGTTGGGTGTGCTAGAGGGTGGCTACGAGAGTGGTTATGCCTCGGTGTAACACTCTTGTGTAGGATTTGGGCTAGGGTAGGGCTTGGCGGGATAGGTAGTTTCAGAACTGCACTCGGCTGATCTTCAAAAGCCATTGACATCTTGTGACGCCGCAGGAATTCTCAAAAACTGCTAACGCGCAGCATCTACATGTCACATTTCGTGCAAGCCCATGCGAATTCGGATCAGGAAGACCTGTCACACACCAGGGCTCGACACATATTTGGAGGTTCATGGCTGTTTGCGCAGTCCCTAAGGTCGCTGGTGAAAACTAAACCCCCGGGATCAAAGTACCACCAACAACGCGAGAACAGCCCGCAAAGCCCTGCAATGCCCATACATGATTCCGGATCAAGCCCAGGCCTAATTTTCTCGTGATCCGCCCGGCGGATGTGGAGGAGGCATGGGGCAAACATAGCGGTCTGAACTTTTTGTGGTCTGCGTGGGTCAGGGCTCTAGACAGTTCTGAGAAGGGTTCCGTAGGGGCTCTATCTATTCTACATTCATGAAGGTCCGTAAGTCCTCTGAGGCTTTGTGCTCTTAGTTGAGGGCTCAGGCTTTCGGACAATCACGCGGATCACATGGAGCATGCTTGTTTCGGGAACAAACTGTCCGATTTAGGCTTTGGGATTTACAGTTTGGGTTTGTTGGGTTGGGAATCAGACCCCCTTTTGGAGTATCCTGAGAAAGAGGTAGTTCGGGGCTTTCGAGCTAGTGGAAGCAAATATGCATGGTGCTCCCCTCCTTCAGAACCTTACAGAACCTCATGAACCCTTACAGAACCCCGTAACAATCCTTCCAAGAACCCAAAAGGACACTGCCACCGTTCCTGTGAACATGCGTGCGCATTTTTCAACAATGTGTGCACATCGCGGGGTCTGCAACCACGCCGGATGTGATCCTTGAAACCACACTTGAGTGCCCTGCTTCAGCCTGCTGGTTGAAGCACTAGACAAGTTCTACCAGTTGCTGGAAGACTTTTCGGTTTCTGTTCTACGATAGCGGCCGAAAAAGAGGTTCCAATACTATAATTGTACTTATTAATTGTAGTATAATGGGCCCCAAAACCCTAGTCTAATGATTCTAATTGTGAAGGCCCCCTATATAGCCTTGGCGGAGTCCTTCCCCCAGAGCCAAATGCTATAAGCCCCTATACATTTATAGGATCCTTATTAAGGGGGTGGTTCAAGGGGGGAGGGTACAAGGAATCCTTAGGGGACTGTAAGGGAACCTTAGGGAGTACTAGGGAGGACTAGGGATCACTAGGCTATATACCCCCCTTGGACCCCCCTCCCTTAAGGATACTACAATACATCCCAGTCCAGAGATGTGGAGGCCGGGGTGCTCAGGGGTGTCGCACCTTGGAATTGGGGGAAAAGCATCATGGTTTCATGAAGCTTGCCCCTTGGCAGCCTTTGACTGAATCTCCCTTATCAAAAATTCCCTACACCCCCAGAAAATTCTCTAAGCCCTAGACACCAAAAATTCTCTAAGCCCTAAACCCTAAAAATTCTTTAGACCCTAAACCCTCAACCCCAAACCCTAAACCCCAAAAGTTTTCTAAGCCATAAGCCATAAAAATTCTTTAAACCCTAAACCCCAAACCCTGAAAATTCTCTTCAATGCGATCGCAGGTGGTCGGAGCCTTCCGCGTCTTCGCAGAGCAGTACACCGGCCATCGTGAGTGCCGGGCCCGGGACGGTTCTTACGTCGGCTGGCCGGGGTGGGTTCGGGTTAATAATTAGAATAGGGTTCCCTTGAAAGGGTTTTGAAAAAGGGTCCTATGAGGGTTACTGCTACTAGTACTATAAGGGGTACTATGGGGGGTTTGAGATAAGGGCCTTAAGAAGCAGAATAGGGTTTTGGAGCCCATTATGCCATAGTTATAATAAGGAAACCTCAAAATAGTACAAGTAACAACTTTTTAGGCCCCTACATTATACCCTTATAATACAGGGTGGTTTTGGGTTTTGGGTTCAGGGTTTTAGGGTTGTAGGGTTTAGGGCCTTAGGGTTTAGGGCTTCGGGTGCCCTAAACCACCCGAAACTCCTAAAGACCCGTCTCTGGCAAGCCAGAAGGTAAAGCCCGAAGCCGAAGCCTCAGAATCGAATTGGCGAAGCCAGATCCGGCGCGCAGGCGACGCACGGTTCGGACAAGGGATTGTTGCTCTCCTAGCTGGCAAGCTCAATGGAGACGCTGCTTCGGCAGAGCTCCGCACTCTCTCTTCAATCTCACTTCCTCTTGCATTCCTCGAGCACTGCCTGTGCCAGCGCGCAGTGTGAATCAGTGCAGCAGGCGCATGCCAGCACAAACGGATTGTCAACTGCCCTTGAGCGTTTTTGCGACTCTCAGCAGATGACCTTCCTTTGACATCGCAGACAACAGCAGAAGCTGTGCTTGCTAAGGCGTGAGGTCTTTATCGTTGTCCTGCAGCGTTATGGCGGCCCCGTCTGCAGCATGAGCTTAGTTGTGATTTGCATCGCACAAGTATGAGGTTCTGATTGTTGTCGCGCAGCGTTATGGATATGGTTGGCGCAACATATGGCATATGCCAAAGCGACACGGGTCACAAATCTCAACACGTGTCGCCAACACAGCAAGGCTCATCAAGGCTCCAATTGTGAAGCCCAAACACCCGCAAAAAGGAAGCGATGCCCGGCCGGAAGCCCCCAGCCGGAGGAAGTAGCTCCAGTCCCACCACGTACGCTGCGCCAGCGAGTGTGGGACACAAACACACCCGCAGCATAGGCCTTCTGCCCCACACCTAAGGCGAGCAGGAGCTTTACATGTCGTGACACACACGGGACTGATTGCTGTCGCAAACATATTTCAAGGTCTGTGAACGAGTGCGGGGGTGACAATGCACGACGTGCGTGACCTTTGTGCATGGCGTCCACGCAACTGCGGCACGGTCTTACGATGCTGATCCTAAATGCCAAGCGCCTAGGCTTAGGAGTGGGCGTGCGCGAAAGCGTGGCAGCAGGAGCTGAACGCTGGAACAAGACGCTGGGAAGCCGTGATGCATGAGGCAGAAACGCACCAAGGCGACGCCCTGCACCACGTCGCACACCGGTTCAACCGGCACTCAGCGCAATCCTTGCAAGCGAACCCGCCACAGCCTCAGAGACTGAAGTGAAAGCTTAGACTGAGACTTGATGAGCGCCTATGCCAGCTACCCACACCCCGACTAGGAGTCTAGCCGCGAAGAGCGCTGTGTGTGCTTCGACGTGGCATATCGTGGCATCGGCTGTGCGGGCAGCTCCATTAGCGTTGTTGCCAAGCTGGCAAAGGCAGCGGAGGCCGTGCCAGCGTTGCTAGTTTCCGATGCCGAGGCGAAGGCCAAGGCGAGCGTCAAAGCCAGGGCGGCCGCAAGAGCAAAGGTGAAGTCGGAGGAGGCGGCGGCTGCAAAAGCCGACAGACGGCGGCGGCGAAAGGAAAAGAAACACGAGGAGGCCAGGTGACAGCAACGGAAGAGGGAACGTCAGACTGCTGCATGTTACAATGGCCTTCTTACTGCACATAAGTCCGCAGGATCTTCATCGAGGTCACCCGACTCGAATCGAGAGGGACGGTTGAACTGCCAGGCCCTTTAGATGGAAGCCCGAGACATTAAATGCGAGTTCCAAACCTCAAACCCTAAAGTTATATCCTTCAAGCACCCAAGCCCCACAACGTTCATCCACCGATCCGGAATGGGGGACACAGGTGCACGCAGATATGCTACAAAGACTACAAAGGGTGTTTACTGTGGGGTGTGACGTTCCAAACTCTTGTGGTCCCAATGTTGAAGCTGTTTGGTTTTCGGGTGTGTACTGTGCTTAAGGTTCAAAATATCCTAGCCATCAAATACATCGTTTAAGCCCTTGCTATACCCCAGATTCTCGTCCTTCACATCCGAAGCCCTAATCCTCTAACCTGCGCGGAGCTATGCGGCCCAAAAGCTTGTTGAATCCCGTTTGTAAGTCCAAGCGGTGCCAAACGCACTCCCAGGGCCGGATTACTAAACCTAAACCCTTAACCCTGAACCTTAAACTTTGAACTCTCAGCCCTAATGCGGATACCTCCCAGGGTGGAGCAGTACATCGACCCTAAGCCGCTGAAGCGCCGCCCAGCAGCTGGGGCAAAAGGTGGATGACGTGGCATGTTGAGTTTGGGGCTTGGGGCGTAGAAGTGCAAGGCTTTGCCTTCAAAAAGTCATCAAACCTTTAATGTCGGGGCATGGGGTGGGGTTTTAGGTTGAAAGCGCCGGGTTTTGGCATGATTCGGATGCTGGCGTTTTCGGGGTCAGGAGCTTCAAGGTGGTGTGAGTGCAAGGGGATTGTTGTCAAACACAACTGGGCACCGCTCATTTCTGTACTGGTGTTGTACATTGTAGAAGTTCCATGAACGATGCTTTCAATTCGGTGCCCTTAGCCCCAAAGCCCTACACCGCTTCCGTAGGGGTTTCTATACGGGCTTTTACGGTTTTTTATACCGTTTTCCGTAAAGTCTGATAAAGACCGTTTAAAGCCTCACAATCCCAGGTCTTCATCATGACCTCTCGGGGTGAGCTCGGCCTCCCCTACAAGAGCACCTCGGTGTCGTAGAAGGGAGCATTCACTACTATTTGCTTAAGAAACCACCAAAAAATAAAAATAATAATCCCTATAATACCCTTATAAGGAATATATTTTATATTTTTTGGGGGTTCTTAAGCAAATAGTAGTTCAGTTTTTGCATAACAGTTCGGGGTGTCAGACTCCCTAAGCCCCTGAGAACCGTAAAGGGTGCTGAAGCTATGAAGTGCCCTTGGCCTCCAACCTCCAAGCCTACAGGGCAAACAGCACAAACACTGTTTTGGTGTTAATGGTTTCCATCAAACCCTGGATTTTTTTTTTTTATTGGGGTTTCTTATTCTTGTTTTGATCGGGTTTTCCAGCACGGTGCTCTCATCCCAAACCGAACAAGAAGTATCCAGACACACGAGTCAACAATAGTGCATCCATATTGCTGGCTGACAAGGCATGCAAGTCCAAACAAGAAATATCGAACTTCCATCCCCGTGTCTTCTTCCAAAAAGTCCAAGAGCATGACATCCGAAGCCAGAGTCTTGCATCCGAACACCTAGCAACAACCCCATTCGAGGTAGTTACTCTCCTGAGGGTTCAGAAATTGTGGGTTGGAAATCCGCAGCCCTAAACCAACCAAAGAGTCCTACGCATCAAGCAGGGCTGAAACTCCCGAAGATGAAGGGTTTTAGAGAGGGTTTAGGGTTCAGGTGTAGGGCTGAAGGGTTTAGAGTTTGGGATTTAGGGTTCAGGGAATCGGGTGGGGGTTTGCCCAGGGTTCTAAACTTGGTTGAGGGATGTGGTTTCAGCGTTCAGGACTACCTCTAACATGCTCGAAGACGGCATCTTCTGGCACTTTTGGACCCGAAGACTTGACCGTTACGTCAACCTTTAAGGGTTCTTTGACGGGCCCATAGAAGGTTCCTTTACGGGTTCCTATGAGGGCTCCTGCAAGGGTTCCTGTAGAAGCCAGGCAATGTGGCTATGAAGGGCCGCGATGGAGTGCTCCGAGGCAACTATTGACTTGGTTTGAATTCGCTTGAAGGGATTATTAGGGTTCAGTGGTATAGGGCTTACAGCGGCATTTCTCGGCTTTAGTCCTGGCAAAAAGTTGTTTGATTTGCCGAATTCGAAGCTGGCCGTATGCATTCAACCCTCGATTCCAAACCCCTACGGCAGGCGCCTATGTGGTGCACGACTGCTGCGACGCACACTCCTCGCAGCTGACGACCTCGCAGCTGCCGGACATCATCCTCATAGGCGGCCCGGATCGCAGAGCTCACATCTGGATCGCTACACCCTGTATGGAGTGAATCTGACGACATGTAACTGAAGATGCAAAAGAACTCCGACACTGATCTCTCTTTGGCCGACAAGCCTCCCGCAGAGGATGCATAGGCGGGGTGCCCCGAAGTCGCATCGTGTGAGGGTTCGTCACTTGCGAGTCGCACTGCACCGGCAAGCTGAAGACCCAGATCCCACCGCATATCTGAAACCCTAAACCCGATCCCTCAACGCCATACTTGTAGCATCTAGAGTCTAATATAGGGGCCCAAAAATTTTACCTATGCTGTTGTGGGGGTTCCTTCGTGCAATTATAGTATAATGGGCCCCCAAAACCCATTCTAATTAATAAGGCCCCTATATTATAGATCCGACTTCCGAAGGCAGTGGACAGGACGTGGCCCTTGTCATGGAGACGAAGGCAGTCGCAGTTCAAAGCCGGTGTTGGGTTCAGTAGCAGCAGAAGTCTTACCTTTGGTTAGTAGGGAATGGAGGAATGGGTTATAATTTTAACTACTATTACTACCATTCTTCCATTCCCTACTAACCAAAGGTAAGAAGTGAGAATAGCAGAAACAGCAGTTTGAAAGGTCGGGTTCTGTCTTTATGTCTAGGGCGTGAATCAGAGAACTCCTTCCCTCAGGGCTCAGTCAGTATGTATGATTTTGGCTTAGGCATTACCAGGCACAGAACTCCAACATTTTTCCAACAAGGCTACCAAACGCCAAAATGCACAAAAACCTAGCCTATTGCTTGAGTCTGCAATTTGTAACGAGCTATCTCGTTCCCAGTTTCGAGTCCCGGGTGTGCATCGGGATCCAGGATCTGTGGAGTTGAAGCGGTGGGCCCTAAGGCACCCCAAAAGCCAATGTCGTAAATCGAATCTTCGGGTTCAGGGTTCAGGATTCAGGGCTTCGGGTTCAGGGGCTAGCCCTGAGCCGTAACACGTCTCAACCTCTACACCCCATACAGCCCTAACGCCCAACTCCAAGATTTCCCAACAAAGTCTTTCGTCGTCTTGCAAGCATAGAAACAGACTGCTCAAACACTGAACCCTGTGAGCTCTCAGTCGTGGGATACTTCTGGTACCCTCTAAGGCTCTGCAACACCAAACAACACCTCCTTTAAACCCTGAACCTCACGCCCGCAACCCAAAGCTCTTCACCCTCAACCCTAAAACCCTAAACTCCCTAAACCTTAAGCCCTACACCCTGAACCCCCAACCCCGGAGCGCACACCCTATAGACCCTAAGCCCTACACTCTACACCCTGATTCTTCAAGCAGTCAGCCGCTGAGGCTTTGCTCTTGCAGTGGTCCAGGAAGGTCAACCAGCAGCTCTCAGGAGCACGTTTTTCTTGTGTGTCTGTGCGTGCTCTGGTTTATTTAAGGGTTTGATTCTGCTTGTTTTTGATATTTCTGAAGACTCAATCGTTTTTCTGTGGTTCATGTTTTGAGTATTTTGACTGCGTGGAAGCACGCCTTTCGATGGATTTCTTGTAGACGCCGGTACCAGAGTTAAGTCCGAGTCTATGGTTGTGGAGGTTTCGTTCGGCTCAGGTTTTTCCAGGACTTATCTGGTCCGGTTTTCAGGTTATGGTGGAGTGGTTCAGGGACCGGCGCTTGGGTTTAGGGTTTAGGCGCTTGGGTTTCGATTCTGCGCAGATTTTCTGACAGGCTTGAGTTCGGACTTTCTGATCAGATTCCTGCTGTTGCGGGAGCCCGTCGATGAGCGGAATCCCTCATTGTTCGATGAAATGAACTAAGCTTCCGCAGAGCTTGTCTGTGGAACCGAAAACCCTAGAGCCTTCAACCCGAAAGTTAAATCTCTACCGCACTCTATCAAAACCTATTTGTTGTAGCTTCTTATATTACAAACCCTTACATCGATGTTGTAGGGACCCTACCAAAAAAGGTAGGTTTTGGGGGGTTAAGGTACGCACAGAACAGCCCTCCCTAAACACTAACCCCCTAAACCCTTAAACCCGAAACCCGAAGCCCTAAGTCCTAAACCCTAAACCCTAAACCCTAAACTCGAAACCCCAAGCCCTAAGCCCTAAACCCTAAATCCGAAACCTTAAACCCTAAACAACTTACCCTAAATCCCTAAGCACAGAACGGCCTTTGTAGGAGCCTTCGACGGCTTCCCTGCGGCCAAGTGGGAAGGCCAGGCCCTCTTGAAGGCTCGGAGGGCTCCCTACTTGGAGGGTTTAGGGGTTCCTCAAGGGTTCCTTAAAAGGGGATCTATAAAGGATGCTATCAGGGCTCTAGAATATGAGGGCCTTGATAATTACCTATACTATGTTGGGGGTTCTTTATTAAAATTCTAGTAAAATGGGCCCCAAAACCCTACTCTAAAAAGGAAGGCCCCTATATTACTTGGAGAATCATGGGGCCTTAGTATGGTGATACAGTACCTCAACTGGGGTCATCATGAACTGTTCGTTTGGTTACCTCATTATAATCCCAGATACTACATCGCATGATCCTGTAACTATCCCGGGAGAGGAGTTGCAGGCGTGTAGACTTGAAGACACACACACGGATGCCCGAAGCGGTAAAATCCTGTTGGGATTTAGGATCTTCGCGGCATGAGGTGTGCGGTATGGGTGCACTCCACCGAAGCTTGATGCCCACTGAAATCCTGTCCGGAAATCCTCTTTGCATCTCTTTGCTCACAGGTTTAGTGCAGCTTCGGCTTTGTCGTATTGATCGTCGTAAACTGGGCCTCAAGGCATCGTTCCCTTAAGGCCAAAGTCCAGCAAACAACCACTTTTGCCGGAAGAAAAGGCGTGACGCAGGTTTGAGAGCAGAGGAGTAGACTTCGGGTCTGGGGTTCACGTTTGATGTGGTTTTGGAGCTCATTTCGCCAGGTGCGAGTCGTGTCGATGCCATGCTGGGAGATTTTCGATGAGCAGGATCAGGAATACCAGGACACACAGTTGCCGAGACCTCACACAAACACAGACATATGGGAGTTTCCGAGAACAGGGGACCCTAATAAAGTACCCTAAGTAGTAGGATCCTTACTATAAGGACCCCAAAATAAGGTACCCCTATTTTTTGGAAACTCCCATATCGGTCCCTAGACTGTAGAACCCTAGGACCCTGCCGAAGCCCCTTACAACCCGTATCAAGCCCTGGCCCATGATAAGCCCGGTAAAGGACCTGGCGTTGTAGGGTGCGAGGTTCCGTGTAGGGCATTCCGGGCTTTCCAGGATGTACTTGCAAGATTGGCACCAAAGTATCGCCTATTGCATCGCAAACACCGAGAAGTCCGTTCCCCAAACCTTGTTGTTTGGGGCTTAAGCGCTGAACCCTATAACCCCCAAAATCCATGATCCATGGAGCCAGGGAACTGTGAGAGGATCGTGGATGCCGGCTCACAGCCTGGACACATACAACCCTGTCGCCTGCTGAGCCTTAAGCCCTTGCAGCCATAAAGCTCTACGGTACTCTACATCCCTATGCACAAATGGGGAGCCGTGATTCAGCTCTCGTAGTGTGGCGTGAGGAGTACATTTTTTTTTCGGTGATGTGTGATGTTGCTCGAGCAACAGGCCGTAAGCCCTGAACTCCTGAACCCTAAACCCCTCAAACCTAAACCCTAAACTCCTAAACCCGAAACCCGTGATCCCGCAACCCTAAACCCCAAACCCCTAAACCCTAAAGCTTTGCAGCCGAAGTGTCTTCTGGCAGAGGCTGCTGGGGTAGGTCTCGGGTCACGGGTTCAAGTCCCGAGGAAGAGAGCCGATTCAAAGAAGAACCCCCAAACCCCCAAAACCCCAAAGCTACCAGAACCCCAAATCCGAAACCCTCAAACCCTAAAACCCGACACCCGAAACCCCAAATCCCAGATTCCCTGTCCGGAAGACCTGTCTGCAGGACTCTGTCCTCCTATCGAATTTCAACGACATCCTCCGGATCTACGTGGAGAAGGCTTCTTAAAGTGCTCTGTGAGGCAGCTAGCTGAGGGTTTTCAGGCTCGGACTGCAAGGTCCACGGCATGCGGGATATGTTATGGGCCTTATGGGGTAAATGAAGGGCTTGGGTTTAGGATGGAGGGTTTAGGCGTTGAAGGTTTTGAGTTTTGAGTTCAAGGCTCCGGATGTGAGGGGCTAGCGGACCCTGGCAGCATCCTGGCAAATGAGGAGGCCATGGGGACCGGAACGCCAACTTCCTTTAAAGTGTTCCTTTCAAATCAAAGGAAGCCACAAGGGGTGCGTACCATAAGGGGCAGTGTAAGGGTTCCTTTTCAAGGACAAGGGTTACCATAGTACGGGGTACTATAAGGCGTACTATAAGGATAGGCAACATGGCCTGGCCCCGGCGAGGGCCAAGCAAAGCTTTCGCGGTTTGTCCTACACCTCCTGCACTTTTTCTTGAAGATACGATGTATTTGTGCATGTGTATACCTGAATATAAACAAAATATATCAATGTACACACATACTTACATATACATATATATGTACATAGATGTATGTATGTATGTATGTATGTACGTATGTTTGTGTCTGTGTATGCGCAGTGTATGTATGTATGTATGTATGTACGTATGTACGTTTGTATGTATACACACATACGTACGTAGCTGCATGCATGCGATCTTGTTTGTGTGTATATATGTATATACATAGGCCCCGGGTATACATATATGAATGTATATGTAGGTGTGTGTTTATAATAGAACACAACATGCTCCAATATTATATGTTAAAGTAGAAAATGTTCCAACATGATAAACAAATATAGCTGAAGACACTATAAGACAATATCAGACCATATCTTACACCTCGATATACCATACTGTACGAAACGAAAATATAATGTGCTATAGCATACATAACATGATATACTCATACTAAAACCTTCTGAGTTATGATATAGTTTCAATACAGTGATGTTGCAGAACATATTATTGCAAATGTTGTTTAGCATGATATACTATAGTATAGCATATACAGTATACAGTATTGACATATATTGCAAAATGAGATATTACAACAAAAGTATAATATAGTATAATACTTATATACGCTAACATACTTTAGCGTGGTATAATACACGGTAACATAGCCTAGTATATGTTTATATATACACACATACACAATATGACATAATACAGCATGCCGTACTATAATATGCTTTAACATCATGTAATATAACATAACACAATACAATACAATGCAATATAATGGACTACACCGTACTATACTGTCATATCACACAGAATTCTATCATGTCACATAAAATGTCCTAATAAAAGTAAAAAGGACAACATAAACATAGATGTAGATATAGATATACATGCAAATATCGGTGCTCATGTACATATAAACAAATACATATACGTTAGAATAAGTAATCGGTTAGATACATAAACAAGTCAATGTGGGGATAAGGACTACGTATGGATCGGCTGCTCGCCTTAGGCCCCTTTGTGATTATGGCATGGAGGTCATGACACAGGCGGTCAGATTATGTCAGCAGTGCAAATTTCATGCTCCCGTATCCTGCACTGAGACTCCCTTTCCGACAAACACAAACGAGTTTAATGAGCGTACACTTGTGTATGTGTTGAGCGGCGACATTCGGCGCGTTGGCCATGGGCTGATCCAAAATCCACGTCTCCATCATGTCATTTACCGTTGAGGTAAGCCTCATAAGTGGCAAGACGGTGTCGCTGCAGACGCACGGGGACGAATCCGTGGAATCGCTGCGAGAGCGTGCGCAGAAAGCCCTGGGAGCTGGCAAAGGCCGACTCTTGGACTCTATTGGAAGCGTTCTCGATGGAGGAGCACCGCTAAAAAAAGCCAGGCTGCAGAAAGCGAAGGCGAATGAGGAGCCCTTACACCTTACGTTGCAAGTTCGAAGAGTCGATATATGTGGCAGATGGGCGGCCTTTGCTGCCATCATTGGGGATGGCTCCGTCGTGGCCTGGGGCAATGCTCACTTTGGCGGTGACAACAGTTGTGTCCGGGATCAGCTGAAGAATGTGCAGCAGATTCATGCAACTGAGCGGGCCTTTGCTGCTATCCTTGGGGATGGCTCTGTGGTGGCCTGGGGCGAGCCTTGCTTCGGCGGTGACTGTAGCGCCATGCGAGATCAGCTAAAGAATGTGCAACGGATTCAGGCAGCTGACGCGGCCTTTGCTGCAATCCTTGGGGATGGATCCGTGGTGAGCTGGGGCGATGCTGGTTGCGGTGGTGACTGCAGCGCTGTGCGAGATCAGCTGAGGCATGTGCGGCAGATGCAAGCAACTGCAGAGGCCTTCGCCGCAATCCTGGGGGATGGCTCCGTGGTGACTTGGGGCAACGCTGATTGCGGTGGTGACAGTGCTGCTGTGCGAGATCAGCTGAAGAATGTGCGGCAGATTCAAGCAACTGCTATGGCTTTTGCTGCTATCATTGGAGATGGCTCCGTTGTGACATGGGGTGACGTTGATTGTGGTGGAGACTGCACCGCCGTTCGAGATCATCTGAAGAATGTACGACAGATTCAAGCAACCAGGGAGGCCTTTGCCGCGATCTTGAGGGATGGCTCCGTGGTTACTTGGGGGGATGCTAGCTCGGGTGGCGATTGCAGTGCGGTGCGAGATCAGCTAAAGAATGTGCAACAGATTCAAGCAACTGACGGGGCCTTTGCTGCCATCCTTGGGGATGGCTCCGTGGTGACATGGGGCGATGCTGATTTCGGTGGTGACTGCCGCGCTGTGCGAGATCAGCTAAAGAATGTGCAGCAGATTCAAGCAGCTTGGTTTGCATTTGCTGCGATCCTTAGGGATGGCTCCGCAATAACCTGGGGTGATTCTTGGTCCGGTGGTGACAGCACTTCTGTGCGAGATCAGCTAAAGAATGTGCAGCAGATTCAAGCAACTGCGAGGGCCTTTGCTGCTATCATTGGGGATGGCTCCGTGGTGACATGGGGTGATGTTGACATTGGTGGTGACTGCGCCGGTGTGCGAGATCAGCTGCAGAATGTGCAGCAAATTCAAGCAACACCGCGGGCCTTTGCTGCCATCCTCAGGGATGGATCCGTCGTGAGCTGGGGCAATGGCAGCGGTGGTAACAGCATCTTTGTCCTAGATCAGCTGAAGAACGTGCAACGGATTCAAGCAAATGACGGGGCCTTTGCTGCAATCCTGGCGGATGGCTCCGTGGTGACCTGGGGCGCTGCTGTCTCTGGTGGTGACTGTAGTTCCGTGAGAGATAAGCTGAAGAATGTGCAGCAAATTCAAGCAACACCACGGGCCTTTGCTGCGATCCTGGCGGACGGCTCCGTGGTGACCTGGGGCCGTGCTGACTACGGTGGTGACAGCAGCGCTGTACGAGATCAGCTACAGACTGTGCAGCAGATTCAAGCAGCTCGGTTTGCGTTTGCCGCAATTCTGGCGGATGGCTCTGTGGTGAGCTGGGGCGATGCCGATTGCGGTGGTGACAGTGCTGCTGTGCGAGAGCAGCTGAAGAATGTGCGGCAGATTCAAGCAACTGGTAGGGCCTTTGCTGCTATCATTGGAGACGGCTCCGTGGTGACATGGGGTGTCGTTGATTGTGGTGGAGACTGCACCGCCGTTCGAGATCATCTGAAGAATGTACGACAGGTTCAAGCAACCAGGGAGGCCTTTGCCGCGATCTTGAGGGATGGCTCCGTGGTTACTTGGGGGGATGCTAGCTCGGGTGGCGATTGCAGTGCGGTGCGAGATCAGCTAAAGAATGTGCAACAGATTCAAGCAACTGACGGGGCCTTTGCTGCAATCATTGCGAATGGCTCCGTGGTGACATGGGGTGATGTTGATTGTGGTGGAGACAGCAGCGGCGTGCGAGATCATCTGAAGAATGTACGACAGATTCAAGCAACCAGGGAGGCCTTTGCCGCGATCTTGAGGGATGGCTCCGTGGTTACTTGGGGGAATCCTTACTCCGGTGGCGATTGCAGTGCGGTGCGAGATCAGCTAAAGACTGTGCAACAGATTCAAGCAACTGACGCGGCCTTTGCTGCCATCGTTGGGGATGGCTTTGTGGTGACCTGGGGCGTTGCTGATATCGTGGCTGACTGGAGAGCTGTGCGAGATCAGCTGAAGCGTGTGCAGCATATTCAAGCAACTTCGTTTGCCTTTGCTGCAATCCTGGCGGATGGCTCCCTGGTGACCTGGGGCGATCCTGGCTTCGGTGGTGACTGTAGTCCCCTGAGAGATAAGCTGAAGAATGTGCAGCAGATTCAATCAAACCGGGGGGTCTTTACTGCGATCCTTGAAGATGGCTCCGTGGTGATCTGGCCCGGTGGTGACAGCAGCGTGTTCGATGTCAGCTTTCAGAATGCGTAGCAGCTTTAACTAGTTATAACTCATGAGGCGGTTGTCGCGACCGGGGATGGCTGTTCCGTCACTAGCGTGAAGCTGGATTCGCCGTTGCTCTGCGCGAGAACAGCTGAACAGCAAATACCAGCAGCAAACGAAACGATTCGATTCATATTCGTGCACTTCTTCTATGTTCTTGCGCAGCTAATCCTCTTCCCTGGTAGTCCCTAAGTTCAATCATCCCTGAGCTCTTGCTGCAGGTTGTGATGCCTCACACTTGGCACCTATCCCAGTAGGCCTCTAGGCGTCTAGGCATTGCAGTTGCAAGCTCCAGGCCAGGGACCTGCCTGGCACTGCAGCTCGAGTGTACCTTGATTTTTCTTGGGGTCTAGCGGTTTAGGGTTTAGGGTTGAACCCGAATGCAGACTTTAGTTCAGCTAAAATCTCAATGTAGAGAAGCCCTCGCCCCCTTTGGCGCAATGCCTAACATCCCACACTCGTCCGGGCCTGAAAACCAATACAAGTACTTCGCAAGGTTTAGGGTTTGGGGTCAGGGCTTATGTAATTGCGGAACACTTCCTAGAGCAGGACCCTTTCAAAGGCGCGGTCTAACTGCTCAGGCTTCTAAAGCACTCGCAAAATCAACAATTCAATTGCGAGGCCGCGACGAAGAACACGGGGCACGTCCCTGGCTGAGCATCTGCATAAAGCAAGTTGCCTTGAAATCGTTAGCCCGATGAGGTATGCAGCAGATATCAACCCCATAAGCCCCATAACCCTAAACCCCATTAGCCCCATAACACTAAACCCCATAAGCCCCATAACCTTAAACCCGAAACCCTATACAGCAGATATCGACCCCATACGCCCCATAAGGCAGATGTAAGCCCAGCCCAACGAGGCAGATGTGAGTGCTTTGGGGACAGGGGGTTTGGCACTGATTAGTTTGGAGAAGCACCTTACTTGTGTAAGATGGAAGGGCAGGATGATGTAAGACATGTAAGACCTCTCTGGGATTATGCAGCCAGGCAAAGATCGGAGACATAAGCTACCTCGTGTATGCGTTCAGGAGTTAGCGGGCTTCATAACAGTACAGCATTTCTACCCGTCGAGGCTCCTATACTACCCTACATCCGAAACTCCGTCAACCCCAAACCCCCTGCCTCCAGAACATTTTCCGGACACCTAAACCCGAAAGGGCACCACGTCTTCCACAAATCCAAGAAGTCATCCCTGAACCTGAGAGTATACTGTAAGGGCCCTAAGGATTAGAATAGGGTGTTGGGGCCCCTGATACTCGTAAGCATACACCGCGAGCCAGGAAACACCAGCGAGGTTTAGGGTTTAGGGTCTAAGTAGGGTTCATGGTAACTCTAAGCCGCAAATACAAAAGACCCAGAAAACCCTAAACCCTTAACCGTATAAAATTGCAACCCGAAGCCGCAAAAGCCCCAAGACCTGGATCCCAAGCAAAGCGAAACCCCGAACTTGCCTCCCATTCCTTCTTACCCTCGACCAGCCTGAAACCTGAACCCTAAACCCTAAAGCTGAAACCCTAAACTCTAAAGCCTAAACCCTGAACCCTAAACCCTAAAGCCGAAACCCTAAACTCTAAAGCCTAAACCCTGAACCCTAAACCCTAAACCTGAAACCCTAAACTCTAAAGCCTAAACCCTGAACCCTAAACCCTAAACCTGAAACCCTAAACTCTAAAGCCTAAACCCTGAACCCTAAACCCTAAACCTGAAACCCTAAACTCTAAAGCCTAAACCCTGAACCCTAAACCCTAAACCTGAAACCCTAAACTCTAAAGCCTAAACCCTGAACCCTAAACCCTAAACCTGAAACCCTAAACTCTAAAGCCTAAACCCTGAACCCTAAACCCTAAACCTGAAACCCTAAACTCTAAAGCCTAAACCCTGAACCCTAAACCCTAAACCTGAAACCCTAAACTCTAAAGCCTAAAACCCTGAAACCCTAAACTCTAAACCCTAAACCCCCGCCGAAAACGACAAGGACAAGTACGCCCACTTCTCCATCCTCATGCCCTCCTATGGCCTCTCCGGGAAGGCGCAAAAAAAAGGGTGGGTGTGGGGTGTGTTGGGTTTTGGGTTTAGGGTTTTCGGGTTCCTATATTTTGGGGTTTTGGGTTTAGAGGTTTAGGGTTCCTATATTTTGGGGGTTTTGGGTTTAGGGGTTTTGGGTTCCGATATTTTGGGGTTAAGGGCTTTGGGGTTCTATTTTAGGATCTCGGGTTTAAGGATTTCAGGAGTTTCGGGTTCAGGAGTTTACAAGTTCAATTGGTTTTGGGTTTGGGATGTAGAGGCCCAGGAAGGGCAGGCTTTCCGAGTTCGCATGTAGAGTTGTTTGGGATCTGGGGGTTTGGACTCGAATCTCTCATAAGCCCTCCTAGAGCAAAGAGTCCTAAACCCTAAATCCTGAATCTATACTGTTCACTTCGGTTGAGGGCTTGGGTTGCTATTCTAAAGTCCCCTTTGGTTCCGGTTTAGGAGTTTTGGATTTGCACCAAATTCGAGTAGTTCCCGAAAGTGGTCTCGCTTCGGGGTCCCTGATTAAGTACGTTACTCAGGGATCCCCTATTTATGGATTTGGAGTTGGAGTTAGGATCAAAGGTCCTTAGGTATCTGAGATGGTACGGGATTCCGAGCTAGATGCTCAAAGCATGGGAAAGAGACTCTAGTATCCACTATAGATCCCTATTGTGGTAGCTTACTATAAGGGGGCCTCAAAAATTGTGATACTGTCGTGGGGGTTCGTATATTATAACTATAGGAATAAGTCCCAAAACCCTATGCTAATTATCATAAGGCACCTACAGAAACACGCAGCTCCTTAAACCCTAAACCCTAAACCTTAAACCCTAACAAGAGCCCACTCAAAGGCGAAAGACGTGGAAAAGATTTTGGAGTTTACCCCCGAGTACGTGGCTGCCAAAGACCCTCGGCATGACCTTGGGACCTCGGGGATCTCCCTAAACCCTCAACCCTGAACCCTAAGCTCTAAACCCCTAAACCCTAAACCAGTGAACCCTAAACCCTAAACCCCTGAACTTAAAAAAAAAACCCTGAACCCCAAGCCCTAAACCCCTGAACCCTAAATCCTAAGTCCTTAAACCCTAAACCAGTAAACCCTAAGCCCTAAACCCATCCCTACAGGGCTCCCTTAACAGCGCACGATAAGGCTTACCTGGAACCATGAATAATATTTGTAGTTTCTTTAGCTCTAGGCTTCTATCTTACCCAGCCCTACACCTCGAAAGCCTAAACCCTAGACCCTAAACCCTAGAGCCCTAGAGCCCTCGAGCCCTAGCCCCTAAACCCCTCAGCCCGCCACATCCGAAGTCGAGAGCAACCTCTAGGCATCCAAACAAGTTCGAGTACCCTTACACCGCCCTTTATAGCCTTGTCGTATGCTGAAAGGGGCCCTTAGAGTATCCTCAACGGTATTCTGAAACGGGCTGGAATTCCTCGACTCGAGGAATCCATAGAGGTTCCTTTAAGAAGGGCCCTCGAATCCTTCATACACTTGCCAGTAATATAGGGGCCTTGATACTTAGCATAGGGTTTTGGGGCCCATGATACTATACTTGTAACAAGGAACCCTGACAACACTACTGGTAATTATTCAGGCCCCTAGAGTACCTTTGTCAGGACCGTAAACTCTTGCAACTCCTATACACCCTTGTCGTACCATGACAAGGTGCCTAAACTCGCACAGACCCTTATCGCCCCTCCGAACAGGTCCCTAAAATCGTATAAACCCTTCCAGGCACCCTCAAAAAGGGATCCTAAAAACCTTATGAAATCCTTCAAAGTGTGCTCAACGCGTACCCTGAACTCCCTTAAAAAAGAACCCCTAAACTCTACACCCTCTAAACCCACGTTAAAAAAGGTCCGCCAAACCCTGAACCCTAAAAACCAGCCGTAAACCCTAAACCCTATACCTTAGAAAGGACCCCTGAACCACCCGAAACCCCAAACCCTAAACCCAAAACCCTAAACCCTAAACCCTAAAAAGGATCCTTGAAAGCCCAGGTCTGGAGCAGCTGGATTCAGAGGGGTCGGAGGCTCCAGCTCCACGGGGACCGCGCCGACCAAGGCACGGCGTTTCTGGGGGGCTTTCCGGTCCTTTTCAAAGGGGCTTAGGGTTTAGGATTTAAGGGTTTCTACTGTTTAAAGGGGCTTGGAGCTTAGTCTTTTTTAAGAGGTTTGGGATTTATTGGTCCTTTTCAATTGGGCTTGGGGTTTAAGATTTAGGGGTCCTTTTTAATCAAAGAGGTTTGGGAATTGGGGGTCCTTTTTGCAGGGGCTTAGGGTTTAGGATTTAATGGTCCTTTTCAAAGGGGCTCAGGGTTTAGGATTTAGGGGTATATATATATAGTTAAAAGGGGCTTGGGGTTTAGGATTTCGGGGTTCTTTTTGACAGGGCTTAGGGCTTAGGATTTCGGAGTCCTGTTTACAACGGCTCAGGGTTTAGGATTTGGGGTCCTTTTGCAGGTGCTTGAGGTTTAGGATTTGGGAGTCCTTTTAAAGGGGCTTAGGGTTTAGGATTTAGGGTTCCGTACTAAATGGGACGTAGGGTTAAGGATTTTGCCAATTCACAAGGATCTGGAAGATAGAAAGCTTCTCCAGGCCACATCTCAAAGATTCACCGAACGTCCAAGCACTTCGTCCTCTTGCCAGAGGAGGTCCGCATCACTTGCAAAGGCCACGAGATGTTCGTGCTAATGAAAGGAACGGGGACCCAGGTCCTCTGGATCGAGGCCGCAAAGTCCAATCTCGACTGGTTCGCAGAGGAGAAAACAAAACCCCCCCATGAAAAAGGCCTCGGCCAAAGCGACGACCATCAAGCCGAAGGGTGCTGCAGCCAAGAAGAAGTCGGAGAAGGCGGGCAAGAAGAAGGATGCAAAGAAAGGATGCCGTCGACCCCAAAAGCCCGAAGAAGAAGGATGCAAAAAAGGATGCCCCCTAAAGTTGGAGAAGAAAAAGAAAAGATGTCCAAAAGAAGGATACAAACAATAGAGCTACAGAAGCTAGAAAACCACCAGAAAAAAGACAAACAAGCACTGATGACAAGGCTTCATTGTGTTTTAGATTTAATGAATCTCTAGACCAAGTAACTATGAACACTGTAAATAAGTCCAAGGCCAAAAGAAAGATGATAACATATGAGAAAATAGTGCAATGAGAAGTGAATTCCAATCCAACAACAAATATTAAACCCTGCAAAGAGAAATAGAAGAAATATACAAAGAGCAAAGATTAACAACCAAGAACTATTAACAATAAACAAAATGAATCTGATGTAACTTCTAAATGTTTAGATTTTCAAAATCGGTCTCCATGGTATCGTGGCAACTCTGAGATGAAATTGCAGAGTGCGCAGTCAGAGCGCTGAGTTCTTGTGGACATTGGCCTACAGGCACTGAAGCTCCGCACTTCAGCATTCGCATGAAGCCGTCTGACATGTCTTCAAGCATGGAAACAAATGTGGACAAGGCAGTCAATGCTTCGCAGGCCCCTGGCCAACACCTCCCGTGGTTGATATGACCATGACCGAAATCGAATACCAGTTTCAAGCTGAAGTGCACCTCGGACGTGTTTTCTTTGGACCAACAACAATTGTGCAGGAGCTTGGCAATGCCAAGTCATACAGTTTTTTCAATAGAAGCTGCTTGACGCTGCATGGAACTTTTGGCAAGAATGGCACCAGACCTTCACAGGAATGTCCCAGAGCCTGTCGGTAATTTTCAGCAGTCGCTTGCAAGGTGCGAGTGGTTGAGCCCACTTGTAATACTTGGCGGCTGTCGCGGTTCAAGCAACTAGAACTGTAAAGGGCGTAGGCCGTGGAATTGCCGCAGTAGCCAGGAATGCAAGGTACTTATGCAATCATGTCAAACCAATAAAAGCCAAGCTTGCGTTTACATTCATTGTGTCTGAGAGGTTTAAGGGGTTTAGAGGAACCTACAGTCCAAACAAAACCCACAAACGCTTTACAAGGCACCCTGAACCAAGAACCCGCCCTAAATTCCCACCGGCCCCTGGGGCCTTTCCCACTAACTCATCAAGGACCAGAAGCCTGCCCCTGCCCCTGCCCCTGCCCCTGCCCCTGCCCCTGCCCCTGCCCCTGCCCCTGCCTGCCACCGCTCCCGCCCCCAACCTTGGCCCCCCCCCCCGCCCCCACCCCCGCCCCCGCCCCCGCCCCCGCCCCCGCTCCCGCCTCTGCGCCTGCTGCCCTGCTCCTCGCTTTTTGCCTTAGTGCGAGAAAGAAAGAAAAGGGCGGGTGGCTTGGCCGCCTTATGCGGGGGGAAAAGAAAGAAGGAGAGCAGCCTGCAGTAGACAGAGTGTTGCAGGCCGTTGCCACAGTACGATGCACTCGACACAACCTTGTCGCAAGATATGATCGTATCGTCGACACGTTATTCGACGCCCCTAAATTACAGCCAGCACGCCTCTATTCTAGAACCTTTATAAAGGGAGCCCTTAACGGGAATCCATCATGGAGCCCCATAGTACCCTGTGAAGCCTGCTTCTGAAGGCATGGCGACCTGGGTCTCTCACTTGGGGCGGCGGGCAGGTGCCCACTGAGGCCCCTTGATGTTTTGGGTTTGGGGTTTACGGTTAAAGGTTCGGGTTGAGGGTTTGGGGTTTACGGCCGTAGGGTTTTGGGCCTTTAGGTTTCGGGTTTAGGTCGTTGGGGACTTGAGGCTTCTAGTTTTTTTTGAGAACTGCACATGTAGGGTTTGGGGGTTTCAGGAGTTTAAAGTTTAAGGGTTAAGGGCTTTAGGTCTTGTTTCTGTTCTCTTTTGTGGGCTTTGGTCGTTCCTTAGTCTTCTTGTTATTTTTGGTTTCGTTGTTTTGTTTTTCTTATTGGGTTCAAGGTTCAGGGGGTCTCAGGTCGTGCGTGCAGAAAAATGTTTAGCCGAGCCTGTGTCTGGGTCCCCCGCCGAATCCTCAAAACCTCGTTTGGAGAGAGGCTGCATCAAAAAGCCTTCCAAAAAAACATTCATCGTTCAATTAATCCCCCAAAGACTGCAATGCCCTTTACTTAAGGAGAAGTCTCAAGATTATTGTCCGGAGCCGTTGAATCGGGGGACTTTGGAGTCTGCGGAGCCCTTGGGGCTAGGATTCGGGCCTTCATAATTACCTAGAAGATAATATTTTGGGGGTTTCTTTAATACCCCAAAACCCTATTTTCACTATTAAGGCCCGTATTAGGATTTGGGACCTGGAGTTTCGAAGGGACCCGGCCAGGCAGAAGGCAGTGGCGGCGACGCCAAGGTGCGGCGGAGAGCCGATGGCCCAATTGTGCGCGGCGCCACCCTGCCCCGCCCAAAGGTTTTCATCCTTTCGATCGAACTGCGCGACTTGAATTCGACAACCTCAAGCAAAATCCTCAAAGCCTACAATTCAGAAGTCAAAGTTCTGCATAAATCGCAAGCCGTCAAACCTGGAAGCAGCAGCTGCAGTCTCCAAGCTCTGACACCCTGAAACACCACTTACTTTCTGAATGTCGGGGTCTCAGCAAGTGGAGCCTGCAACAAGAAGCACAGGAGCAAAAAGCTCGCTATCCCGTACTCCACATTCTCTAAAGTCTGTGCTCTGAACTCCCAAACGCTAATCCCCACCTTAAGCTCTAAGCTAATTCTGAGCCCCGAGCCCCAGAGCTCACAGCCCTAAGCCCTAAGCACCCAAGCCCTTGCACCAGCAGATGCTTTGAAGACCAGAGCCGTAAGTTTTAGACCCTACCTCTAAACGCCCCTTGCTGTACCCTTTCACGGAACCCTTACGTGAAGGAACCCTAAACCCTAGTCCCTAGGCCCCAAGCTGATATCCCTTAATGGAGCCCCAAGCCCTCGGATTCCTGCTCTTGCTGGCCATGGCTTCTCCTCCGAGATGTAGCTTTGAGAGAGCTGCCTGAAGAGCCCAACTTTGGCTTTTAATTATCGTTTTGGGATTTTAGGGTGTAGGGGCGAGGGGTGTTAGGTGTCACGGGTTTAGGGTGTGTAGGGTGTGGGCACCTCGTGATTCATGAGGACTCCTGACGTTCTTGCTGAATCTTTCCTGCTAGTCATGATGATCATTCATTTTCTTGTGTTTCTTTGTCTGTCGTCATTTTCAAGAGATCGAAGATATAAGCAGAGTGTGATAGACCCTTGTAATCATAGTACCCATCTGGGAGTTTCCGTAAAAAAGGGGACCCCAATATGGTACCCTAAATAGTAGGATCCTTATTATAAGGACCCCAAAATAAGGTACCGCTATTTTCGGAAACTCCCATCCAGTAATCCCTCGGAAAGCGATGGTTGGCTCTTTAGGGAGCTGGGAGTCTCTGAAATCGCCCGCACGTTTCTGTAAAGTTCAGAGGTTTTTATAAGGGCTCTATTAGAGGGTTTAGGGTTTAGGACTTCTATAAAGGTTTCTATAAGGGCTCGATTAGACGGTGTAGGGTTAAAATAAGAACGACAAGAACTCAGGTTAGGGGCTTTAGAGACACGACAGCTTTGTTGAAAGTTTCGGGAGTAGGGGTTGAGGTCCATCTTGCTACTTAGGGTTCTAGATTGGGCTTGGATTCCCTCTTTTCTTCTGAGACTTCCCCAGATTTTACGTGTCACGCAGGCGGAGGGTCAGGCACGGAGTGCCTGTAAAAGATCGCCCTCAGCCGCCTCAGAATTCAAGCCGAAGGACCTGCGTCCTCCCGTGAACCCTAGGATCCCGACGCCCGGAGCCATCCCCAAAAGCCTCAAGCCCTGAAAGTCCAAGAGCCAATAGCTAGGCTCCGAAGAACAGAAGAGCCTTCGAGCGCCTCTCCATCCTTTACCCGAGACGTAACAGCTGTGCACTAGGACAAGAGCTGTGATTATTCTAGGTCTACGCTTGCGTTTCGGAAAATTAGGGGTACCTTATTTTGGGGTCCTTGTAATGAGGATCCTACTATTTAGGGTGCTTTCTCAGGGTCCCCTTGATTGCGACACCGGCCCCAACGGGCCTTGGCCATTGCCAATGCCACGACGACCGCCGCAACGGCACAACGACACAACGACGAACAGGAAGACGAGGACAGCCACTACTAGGTAGGTCTTTAGGACATTTTAAATTTTCCTTTATTGGGCTTAAGAGGACCTTATTTACTAAATATTTTCAAAAGCATCAAACCCACCACCTAGACTACCATGAGCAAGGACCAGAACCAGGAAGAGGAGGAGTCCCAAAGCTTCGGCGCTAGGAGTATGGGGCTTGGGATTTCAAGTTTTGGGTTTCGGATTTGTTTCAGATGTAGGTTTGGCCTAGAATCTTCGAGAGCTGGAGTTTTGGATGCGTGTTCGGGTTGCAAAGACGCATCGTTCGGACATGTATTGTCTTGGAAAGCCTTGGACCCTAGATCACCCGAGCCTTTCTCTTTCACCCGCGGAGGATCTTGTGCAAATAGCTACTGGCCGATTGAAGCACTTAGTTGCAGATCGGCCCCCGATTCTCGAGTTTTGTGGCTGTTTTGCCGCCTGCAGGATGCCGTGCTGGCCTCTGTGGCTGAGGGCAGTCTCAGGTAGACGTTTCCCGTTTAAGAATACCTGGGAGTCATTTTTCGGCGATTCTTCTGTTTTCTAGCGATTTAGGTAACTAGCACTCGAAAGGATAACTGGTCCTGCTCAGGATCCCCAAAGAGCATGTCATCTCTTCTTCTATGCCAGCTGCATCTCTGTGAAACTGAAGCCGCCGAAAGGCGCATCAACCCCTACCAGAAACCCTCAAAGGCACCACACCCTGAACCCTACAACATCTTTGAACAGCCCATGCGAAGCCTTCTGTAGAAATCACCATGATCCTGAAACCTTCAACCCCACACCGAGACCTGCAGCTGTTCTTCTTGGCCGCTGTTTTCTCACAGCCCAATGTTAGAGTTTTGGAGGAGCGATCATAGAGAATACGTTGCCTTGGGGATCTTCATCTAAATTGAAACCTCTTGTGGCCACAGGCATACTGGTACACCTCCAGTTCCCATAAACCCTTGTCCCCTCTTACAAATCTGCAGAAGAGGCTTTGAAACCCAGCCATGCTACAGAAGGCCCTTACGGGCAGCTCGCAGGTAGGAAGCCCGCTTGTGCGAAAATTGGCCGAAGCATTCCGAACTAGGATGAGTACACTTAGGTTGCTGCGAGGCTTTTTTGGGTGGATTTCTTATAAGCCGCGCTTGAGTTAAATCTTCAAGAACCATGGAGCATTATTGCTTTGTCTTGAGCTAAGGGCCCGTTTAGGTTGCAATTGAGGACTGAGGCCCTTAGTCTGGGTTCTTGTTAAGGAACTTAATTTAAGTTACCATAATAGGGATCTATCGTAAATAATAGGGTTTCCTTATTATGGTAACTTAAATTAAGTTCCTTAACAAGAACCCAGTTTTTCGGATGTGGGCGCCTCGGGGGTTCTTTCGGAACACACGGCTTGGCGCCTTGAGCATTGCAATCTTAGGGGTTTAGGGATTCAGGGCTTAGGGTTGATAGGAGATGGGAGTTTCCGAAAATGGGGGATCCTAATATAGTACCCTGAACAGTAGGATCATTAGGATAAGGACCCCGAGAAAGGTACCCCTAATTTTCGGAAACTGCCAGATGTCAGTGTGTAAAGCCTCGGGTGTAGGATTCGGATTTCGGACTGTTGGACCCGCAACTTCAACTTTATGGCAAGGCTTGATTGACCCAAGGCCACAGACCTAGACGGTTGATGATATAAATCCTGCATGACCCATAATAAGGAATATACCATAATTCCCTTGTATTCCTTATTATGGGTAATGCAGGATTTATATCATCAACCGGAGCGTAGGGTTCAGGGTCGTGAAAAGGCGCTGAAGGATCAGGATTCCACAGCACCCCAACATAACCACAAAAAGTATAGAGACCTTCAATGTAGCATTCTCAAAGAATCGTTGAAGCTACTCCTAAAAGGAACCCTTAAAGGTATCCTTAATTGCTGTCTTGAAGGTACCCTTAACTTACCTTTGGTTAGGAGGGAATGGAGGAATGGGGTACAATGATAACAACTATTACTACCATTCTTCCATTCGCCACTAACCAAAGGTAAGCAAAGAATCACAAAAGCTAAGCCCCATGAAGGCGAGATCCGCTTTTCAGTGTCGCTTTGAAAGAAAAGCTTCAAGCGAATGTTTCAGGCTTCTCTGTGACTTCGAGGGGTTGACTAGTGTGAAGGGACATCATGTCGAGTCTGTGTTCTCTTTGTAAAGAGTCTTTGATGATTTGAACATGGTCTCAGGTTATATTACTATATGATCGTATACAGCAGGTTACATGATCGTATACAGCATAGCTATATCGGCATTGTTTTATGCCTGATATATCCACCACATTCTCTGAGGAAGGAAAAGACTGAATCCCCAAAGCCTCGAAGCGCAAAGTCTAATACCCCTCCACGCAGCCCTCCCAAAGCCGTAAAGGGCTCTAAGACCTAAGCGAAATCTGTGCAAAGCCAGTCCATAGGGTCTTTAAGGGAATAGGGTTCCATAATTCATAGGGTCCCCTTTAAAGGGAATTCTTAAACCGTCACCAAGCTTACAAAGTGTTTGAAGAAGCCCAAAG